TCTAGAGTATCATGTACGATATTTGCGGGTCGTAGTTGTGATTATAAATAATATGTAAACGTAGGCATGACGATTTAATGTAATCCTTAAGTATAAATATTCTTTTGCGGTTAAAGTATTAAACATGATAGTATTACTTGATTTGTAGTGCATTTTCTCATTTATGGAAAAAAGGCGCTATTGTGGTAGTCATGTCCGTCTGTCTGTCCGTCTGTCCGTGACTTCACGTTTTCGTCGACGAGAAAATGCGCTCGCAGTCACTCACTGCAGCGAGTACCGAGTTAAATTTTTTGTCTATTCCATTTCCATCTCACGGAAGATATTGCGTGGAATGGTGAATCGTGATTTTTACCGACATTTCGCTTCTCACGTACCTGACAAATTTTACTATCTATTTAATTGGCTGCCGAAATGCATACGTATAAGTGGTTGTACTGCACACGGTCTGTATTCGGTGTTCACAGCTAATCGATTGAGAATACACATTTTCAATCTCGCGTTAGGGCAAGCGCTTGGTTCAATGTTCGTGGCCAAGCCTTGTGATGTCCTATCTATACTCTTGGCTTTGATAACTTATTTGTTTCTTTGTTTCTGAATTATTTGCAACATTGTGATTGGGTCGCACGTCCTGGTTAATTTGGTTCAGTAACTTCGCAAAGAGACAGTTGAAAAGACTCTCCAGATTCAAACTGAGTTACACGTTCACTAACAAACCTTGAGACAAGGGCAGCAAGATGCGACACTACCTGCCAACACTTCCTCAGCCAGCGAGAAATATGTTAAACTGAATAAAAAGCAAAATAGTGTAAATTCGACTAAACGTATATACTTGATACATCTAAGAAGAAGGAAAATTACTATATCCAACTTAGACACAAGGCTACACGAAATTGGCGTAATTGGTGATATAATACACAAAAATGTAGTACAGAAAATTTCATAATTCTACTTCAGTATGTTTCGGATGCAGCAGTCTCAGATCACGATGGATGGCCGCCTTTGACCATCGGGCATCCGCCCTCATTTTGGCCTGCTGATGCACGATGCTGTTGCTTGCTTCTCGCCGCTGGTAGTGGTGCAGGGGCGGTCAATCAACGATTGTGCCCAGCAGGAACACGCCTAGTCGTCTCTTGAAGGTTTCCAGAGTGAACTCACCCTTTCGTAGATCCTTTGGTAGGACGTTAAACAGCCTCGGCTCTGCCACGGAAAGAGATCGTTCCCGCAGGTAGTGAAATCTGACTACGGATCTGTTACGTAGTGGGGGAATCCTGCACAGTCTCTCCCTTCTCTCGTTATAGTAAGTTTCAATCATAAAAATTTCGCTTTTAAAATTTGGCGCCATTCCGATAATTATTTTCAATTTGTACACAATGACATCCCTCTCCTGTCTCCCCTGCATTGAGTACTAGCCCTGGCGCTCCATCCTCCCCCCAGTAGTTCAACTCTTCCATCCCTCTGATCCTGGAAGTGAAGGTTCACTGAACTTCTTCCAGTTGCCGCACTGCGCCGAGTGTGAACGGGGTCCAGAGCTGGCAGCAGTATTCAAGGAGAGGTATCTCAAGGGCTATGAACAGAGTATGGTATAATCGGTTCCGCTTCCCTTGCTCTGAACGTCCGCCAGATCCAGCCTATCTGCCACCTGCTTCTTGCTGTTATTGCCGCTATGTGATCGTCAAACTTGACCTGAGTATTCATCAACACTCTTAGATTGCAAACGAGTCGCTTCTCTAGTTCTCTTCGATTTCCGAGCGGTCAGGTGCCAGGTAGCGGTGCTCAATACCAATTCTCCCGCTACCTCTGTATCTCAGAATTCTACCCTACAACAACATTATAAAATATTATTTCTGGTCATCGATGGATGTAAGTTATTGCTTTTGGTTTAATATTTGTTTTTTTAAGCGAGTGAATGGCACGATTGAAGTGATTAAAAATAAAGTTAATTTATTGTTGAGTATTAGTAAAGAAGATATTTATAGACAGAATTTTCTCACTAAGTGCTGTCATTTTTCTGGTGTTCACCGTGTTCTCAAATTACATTATTGCTCCTTAAAATTTCTGGATTGATGCTTCAATGGCAGTGCTCACAATCCTAAATTCTACCATTAGACGCCCTGTTGTGATGTACTGCTATGAGATGAAATTAAAGTATTGTCTGCATGAAGATTTTATTATTACAATGTTCAAGTTGGACGCATTCAGGAAGTCAAGATTGTTCTCAATGACCTTTGAGATTTACTTCCTATTGTATGCAATGAGTTCAGATATTCTGAAGCTTATGTTCGCCGTGTTACTTTTTCGATACTTTTATCATTAAAAAGTAAAGCTTTATTGAACCTCACTTTTATTTCGTAGTCGCAAGCCATATTGGTGGATGGTGAAAAAATGTATCCGGAATAATGCATGGCTCAGTTCCTCAAGATAGAACTTTGAAAGCTGAATTTTTCTGGTTTTGCTTGCCGACAATGGTGCAGGTGTGAGCAGCTAACAATTATTTAAATCGCTTTCTCAGAAACCTCGATCGTTTGGAGAAAGAATTCCTTTATGCCTCAAGGTTTAGAAGTACGTCGATGTACGGTTAATATTTTATTTCTGTCTATACTAGATGTTAGAACGACCAATACTCTTGTTTAGATAGGCTTCATTGGAACGCGGTTCTTTTTATTGCCGAGAGCGCTTGGCGTCGATATTTCTATTCTCAATGCGGCAAAAATTATTTCTACTACTCTGACATGCATGAGACTGACTGCATTTCCCGATGAAGTCTCTTGCAAAAACTTCGTGAATTTTTATGTCGTGGCTGCATGTTCCTTCATGTCGTGGATTTTCCCTTATTTGTTTAAAAATTTACTTCTTTGTAGGTAGCATGCTTTGAAATTCTCACGACGTACTGTCGAGTCATTCTATGAGCGTTTTTCTTTCTTTGTACCGATCGAAGCATATTGAGATATTTTATCATAGGTATCCATTACTAAGTTTAAAATACAATTTGGTTTGTGACAACTTCTTCATCACGGTTATATTTATTATTAGAAATCGATAAACAGACATTTTTCATTTGACTATGCTGCTGTCAATAAGGAATTATTCGTTTACAATCTATTCGCAATGCTTAGATTTTGTCTAACAATCCCGGATTACTCGTTATCTGATTTTTTAGAGAAGCGAAAGTTTTCATGCATGATAAAATTGCTTGAAACAAAAATCTGCACAATCGAATCCTTTCACAACTACAATTTACGTTACTTTAATCAACTGGTTGTAATTAAAAAAGCGATGCATGGCTGCTAAAGATTTCTTTTCCGTTCCCCGCACAAAATTACTTGACAATAAAGCACATTGGTCGTATCATTGTATATATTTTCAATTATATTTCACCTATCCGTTTAAATTACTGAAGGTTCTCACGCGTCACTCGTTCACTTCAGTTAACAATTGCCAAACACATTGTGAATGGTTTCTAGGTTGAATTCAACTCAGTGTTGAAAACTTCTTTTTAGATTCCCATAAGTTGTACATCATATCAAGAACTGTTAACTTTGATGCTGTCAACGCAGAACAGGGTTCCTGTTCCTTGTTAAGCTTGAGACGTCCAAGAAAAAGGGAAGCTTTAACAATTGCATTACGCTTATCAGAAATAAATGTATTAACTCATGGTGTGAAATGAATTATTGTAGTCTTCATTTCCTGATGATTTATTATTATAACTGCGAAGTTTATATTTCTCAACTGTTATTTGTCAACCCGCCTGCATTGAAAAAAAATTTGTAGAGCCTTCTACACAGCTCGCGGCGCCTGTGTACGCATCTCAGTTTTGGGTTTAGGTTGCTGTGTGGTTGGAATTCCATACACTATAGCACATATCTTCTGTCTCTCATGTGAGCCCAAATCTAGCGTAAGCAACGTCTGGTACGAATGTCCATTGCAGTTTATCTGCATCCCTGTTTCATTTATGTTGCTGGCTAAATGTCCCTTTTTTGGTTGGGTTGTTTTCACCCGTTCATTCGTAGTTTCATTTTCATGTTAAACTGTCCCATCTTCGTTTGTTTGTCACCTTCATCAGGTGTGTAATTTTTGAACTTCCGCTTTTTGTGTTAGATGATTTCCTACTGATTCAATTTGAAATGATCGAGATCTTTAACGTGTTAGTGATCTTTATTGTGAGACTTTCGGTGCAAGATATCTTCGAAGTTGATGGTCTATAAGCCTCGTACAATACCGCCGCCGCCGCCACCACCACTACTGCTTTAGAACATGAGGAAGACGCCAATGCTTATCTCAAACCAAATTGTTACAAAATTCATACATTTTTCTTAAATTAAATTTTTTTACAACGTGTTCTTAAAAGAAATCTCATTTGAAAAATTTTTTATAACTGGTTCTAGTACACTGCACGGCAAGGCAGCGTGAAAGTTGCTGCCGACGTTGTACGTGTATGTAAAACTATAAACCAAGAATTGTGAAGTAATGCATGTTGGTTTTGTAATGTGCTGATAGTCTTTGCTCACGTCTGATAACTACCAAAATTGCAGCTCTCGTTCGATGCTGCACCATTCGGTCAATTTTCGTTCTCTCGATAAAGTAATGCAACAAGAAGAAAACGATCTAACAAAACCGTTGGTTTACGCGTTTTAATAATTTCAATTCTGGAGATGCTAAAGCTCTTGGGAAAGATGTTAAAACTGGTCTTCCTTTCCAGCCATCTACATCTTGATTGATTGTTAGGTAAATTATGCTCGATAAACAAGATACGCTTAGTAGTAGTCAAGCAATTGTAAAAATTAGAAATTTTAGGACAAAATTAATCAATTTCCTATGTTCAAACCAGAAAACTCTGAATTCTCGTTTCAACCACGTTTTCTGGAAAAATAATTTTTTGCTTAATTATTCTAATTCTAATCTTGAATTCAGGATATCTAGTCAAATTTAATGGAAGTTTGCTCGCTAATTTGTGACTTAGAAGTTTGAAGATCAGTTTCTAATGTTGGATTTCTTCTTTTCAGAAAAACACAGTTGCCTCCAAGTTAATCTGAACTTCACTCGGGATGATTCGTTCTACTTCAGCACCGTATTTTCCCCGGGCATCATACTAGTGACGAGCTCTTTCATCACATTTTGGCTTGAATGGAATGCTGTTCCTGCCCGTGTGATGATAGGAGTGACGACAATGCTCAACTTTTTCACAACATCTAACAGCTTTCGATCTACTCTGCCTGTTGTGTCCAATCTGAGCGCCATGAATGTGTGGGACAGCGTATGCATGTTCTTCATTTACGTCTCACTTCTGGAGTCCGTTGTCGTCAACAATGTGGGCCGAAAAAGGCCTAAACACAACATGGTTTACATGCCAGGAGATCACGCCGTTATTCAGGTACGCGTGTCTTCTTAGCATCGTTCGGCATGTAGTGTCATGAGCATATTGATTTTGAATTAAGGTTGGTATTTCAATATCTTTCTCAGTTGTTCAGCAGATGTGCTGATGAACGTTGACTTGATGCGAACATGATCAAATATTTTGAGTCATCTCTGAATGTTACATTGTTTATTAATGTCTTCTTGATTTTGTACCAATTTTTTCACGTTATTGGAACACGCATACGAATTTTGTCAGCTTTAATGATAGTTTGATTTTTCTATTTTTGACAATACAAATAGAATTCCGTTTTCTGGTTAGTAAATATGTATAAGTTCAAGGAATTTTTTTTCGTGTAATTGTAGAATTCGTTTCGAAAACTGTACTTGAGTGTTGTTAGATTTATGAGTTGGACGCACAACATTCTTACATCTCTATTGTCTCGAATTGCGATTTTCAAATTGTTCGTCGATCCAGCCAACCAATTCTGATTTGGTTTAAACTAGGTAACGTGGTAAGAGGAAGGTTAACTAAAAAAGCGGTGAATTGTGTGTGAAGCGTTTACCCAGTCAAAAATCGAGTGCGTATCAACGGTGGTTAGAAAACAATCATTTTGGAGATCTATTTGATTTTTCGACGTCTTCATGACCTCTATACGTTATTTGGCCGTCTGACAACTGTCACTGCGAAACGTTTTTGAACTCCGAGGCGCATCTAATTACTTGCCAACGAAATACCGAAAAATTCCCATGAAAGCCTGTCGGAGACAAACTCCGTGATCAGTTGCGAAATCAATATTTTATTGAAAAACTACAATATCGAAATTTACAAGTTACCCTTAATTAGTATAATAGTTATAAAATGAATGTGGAAAAATGGCGGACTGACCTGTGTGTCTATGCCGACTGACAATTTGAAATTATATGAAGGTGTACATGATATAAATGAGGCTTCGAAAATCCTTTAGAGACATGAGACCGAATTAGTAGCATATAACTATAACCACCGGTATATCGGACTGGAAACCTCGTATGCGAATCTTGGAAGAAAATGAATGGATGTGTGATGACTTTTGTCATATTGCTCAGCTGCTCCATTATATTATAGAAGTTGTGCATCCTCATGCCGTTGTACTACGAGATCTGCACTGCGCACAACTGTTCACTTAAACTTGAGGACATCGTATGCTTGCTGGAAAATTCTCTGTATGCCTGAACAATGAATCGATATCAAAATTTATTGGAAAACTTGCATTTTTAAATTTTCTAGGTATAGTACTATTCACATTTTTATTCTCATGACACTCTTTCAGATGCAGGGTAAAAAGTACAAAATCTCTACGTAATCAAATACTTCAATATTTTGATATAACACGGCTTGGCGAATTTCCTTGGTAATATCCTTGCTTTCACACATGTGTAACATTCATACGAAGATAACATTTAATTTTTTAAGCATTTTAACATTGCTGCAGTTGTATTAGTAGCAACATTGGAAATCACTCAAAAATCGCAGTTCAATAAATAAAAAATAGTTACGTATGTCACGATGAGGTAGCACCTCGCAATTAAATAGTGGCTTGAATCATGTTCAGTCTCGGATCAGATTCATACGTGATCATTACGAATGTTTTCGGTGGAACTTTAAATGTGATCAGGTAGCAACCATGAAAACGTAGAAGCTCCGAAACTGGAGAAACTGAGAAGAAAAATACTGAAAATAAAATCTCAGGATGCAGTGCGGCCGAAAACAGTAGCTATAAACATACCCTTTTTGGAATGGTTTTGCCTGCGATTATATTTTTTGCCATGGAACCTTTTTCTGAGACCGATGATATACGTATCATGTTTGATTTGTGAGAGCATGCACTCGTTTTCTCTTTTTTTAGCGCATTTTCTCATTTATGGAAAAAATGCACTATTGTGCTCGCCATGTCCGTCCGTCCGTCTGTCCGTCCGTCCGTCCGTGACCTCAAGTTTTCGTCGACGAGAAAATGCGCTCTCTGTCACTCACTGCAGTGATTACGGTACTGAGTTATATTTTTTAAACGTACCTTCATGTACGGCTCCGCGAAGTCCGCAGGCACTTCTGTACCCGTTTTTAGCGTTATAGCCTCTCGATTGTTACGGTCTCACGCTCTTGATAACCAGTCATGGCTTTAATCCTCGAGAGCCACCCAGGATTTTTTACTGTGTTTGTATGTCTAAAAAATAACATAGACTTCTTGATATTTAGCAATCGAGCTGTGGCGGCAGATTTATCCTCATTTAAACTCTGACTAAATTTTATTTTATTTTCACAGTGCATCCCTCAAGCCATACACCGGATCGGTCTGAGCTTGGTGAGCGGCTTGGTAGGTGACCAGAGATTTGAGTTTACGCGTTTTGTCGTGAAGTTATTGAGTCATTTCCTTCTATTCTCACTTAGCGTACACATTCTTTCTCTCCAGAGCTCGTCCACACTCGGTTAAATTTAAGCGAAAACGGCCTAACAAAATCGGACACGGATACAGTCACAAATTTTATTGATGTAAGCACAAGGTCTATCGTTTTTTATAAAAGCATTTCTGACTTGAAGATTTAAATTTGTATACTTGAATTTAAGTGTGGACGCAGCTTTTGATTGTCACGCCGTGAATTGTTTCTAATGTGACTTGTATGTAAATTTCAGTATTAGGTTATTGTTTGTGTGTTGGTTGTCGTAAGTTGTTGTTCACATGTAATTGAAGTCCAAGTATCTGCCATCTTTGTGGTGTGCACTTTAAGTCTATGCTCCGTTAACCATCCATATTTTCTCAAAATTCTATACACCTTTAAACAGTCCTGTTTAGTAAGTAAATCTTACTGAGACTATACGTCACAAGATAAAGTTTGTAATTCAATCTTACCAATGCTCAATTTCAACATTTTCAATTCTAAACACTTAACTTATCCATGTATTTTTAGTTATCGAATACGTGCGCATTTGCAATTGTGTTGTTCTTGGTGTGAACAGAATTGAATGATTGAACTATGCAAATCGATCGGTACATGCTGAGGATAAGGTTAATTGTATAGCTTGCTTATTCAACATCTCAATTGTCACGCAGATCTTTGGAAAACTGTCGAAAGAGTTTTGAATAGAATTTAAACAACAAATGAGATACCATTATTCTCGAGATTATTTGAAATTTATGTAGGCGCTAAAAATAAATTTGGCTGATTAGAATTTCAATAAGAATTGAGTTAGAATTAGCACCTGGATAATTTTGAAATTTATTTTTGTCATGAAAACAAGTCTTGCTCGTTGTACATATTCACTTCACACTTCTGGAGTATTAATATTCTGAGCACTCGGTAATTTCATACTGTTTACTTCCATAATTTCTTCTGGTATGAAACGCCTTCAACTTTTACTTAGCACCTATTTTGTCACTGCTTACAAGTATAACATCACATGTGTGGAGTTCTAATTGATCCCTTGGTACAATCAAATTATGAAATTCATGCCTGTATAATTTTGCGCACTGTTAAGTTTTCCATTAGATTATTGTTCCATGTTCTACAGCACCACACTGTCGAGTATCATTAAAATGGCGTTAATATAGTTCTACAGCTTCCGTTTCCACTGGCATTTGCTTTAATAATGCAAGTTGGCTGGGTTTTCTCCGCTGTGGCTTCATATACTGCTGCAGAAACAAGCTTTGTAGTCTCGGCGCTGTGTTCTATTTAATGCTTTTGAAGACGAGTCGCTATTTTAGTTTAGGATACATTCTGTCACTTTAATAACGAGTTCCTATTTATAGAATATAACTAATGCCCAAAGTGGACAACGTTGCATCAATTCTTACATTTTCCATACTGTGCTTATTTTATACCTCCCCATAAGCTGCATTTGAATTTCTGATTATTTTGTTCTCCTTTGAGTTAAAAATTACTTGATCAAATTTATTATCGTGTTGCTATCTAGGATACCGTACTCAGTTTATACGTTCACCGCATTGCAGTGCTTCCGATAGAACTGCAGTGGTGCTGTCGTGAGTCATGGTGCACTTAGATGTAGTCTGCTCCGTGACATGCAAGTACCCGACTTCAGCGCTAGCAAATAAATCGCCTTTCACAGTCACCTCCATTCCAATTCCAAGCACGACTTTAGCCTTTAGTGCAGCACAAACTTCCTGCAACCTTCCGTTAACACAGACGCAGGACTCTACAGATTCGTTTGTTGTAGAATGCGCGTGACGGAAGAGTTCGGTGTCGGGGATCTTTTGTTTAAAGGAACACGCTATGCTGCATCGTGGTGCTGTATATAGATTTTGCTTTATAGTCTATAATTGAATGATTTTTGTATCCCACGATTATACGAATGTTCAGGTAAAATTTTAAAACATTTGTTAATGAAAACTAAAATATATCTCGAGCTCTAACACTTCAATTCGCTGAGTTCGGTGAACTATCGAGTTCGTCAAAATAGTGAACAAATTTTTAATATCAATCACGAACTTGACTTACCCAATTCTTTAATGTATATATTTTAATTCTATCCTTCAAGTTTTTCAGACCAATGTCGACGGTTACTTTTCTACTTCTCTTTACAGAAGATAATTTGGTGACAAATTTTGTTTTCATGCCAATATTTTGCCATGAAATATTTTTTGGTTCTCATTCTATCATTTATATTTCATTTATTTGTCTTCCTCATTGCATTCAAGTTTTGCGATCCAAATCAGAATTCGGACATGTTTGTGAAAATAATTGTTACTTTAATTTTATCATTGTGATAATCAATGTTAGTCATCGCACTTATAATTACAATTTTAATTTTTTTCCCCGGAATATCGCATTACGTTCAAAAATTTGTTGTTTAAGAAAGAACATGGTCAATTCGCCTGAAACGAGAATTTCTTCTTGATTCTTCACCAGCTGCTTTTTATTGTAACGATCAATGGGTCTCACATCTCTTACTCTTGTTCTTCCCTTCTTGCAGTGCTGCATCGCCAACTCTAAGGTTGAAAGTGATGTCTTGGTTTCAATTTTCTGTTTTACTTAGTTTGAAACTCGGGTTGAATTGCATGCAGCTTCCTTCTCATTCCTCGAGTCAATCGACCAACCTTCATTCAGTACATTTTAGCATTTTCAATATAATATATTTAAAAAATGAATTTTTCAAGTATCAAAAAACTATTTTTCACCTACAAATACAAGATGGAATCGGCGCTTTTCATTGCTCCAATTGTGCACTTTCCTCCTATTTTTTTGCAGCTAATGTCCCATGCAGTAGTTCAGAAGCGCACTGACCGCTAGACTAAGCATTAGAACAAATTGCGTTTGTGTCTTTATAATTTTTTGCAAAAGCATTGTTGATCATTATAATTAATTTTACAATCGTATGCATTTTCTCAAAAAGCTTCAAAATTAAGTGATGCATTTTTCTTAAGACGAATTTACTGATTTTACATCTACGAGGTACCTTTTTTTTATAGACGAATAACCGGGCTTTCCATCCTTTTTTGTAATCGTTCGGAAAATTATCGTTCACATATCACCTTATTTTCTCTTATCATATTCCCTTGCTTAATCTAGCTTAATTTTTTTCCAAAATGCGCTGAACTTAAATAGAATAACGAAGCTTGAATTTTCATAATTCTGTAACTAAATTATTCTGTTGGTCGTCCTGTACTTCTATAATTTATTCTGATGCCATTAGTAGCCAAGATTTGTAGAAAAAGTATTTTCAATTCGACGCAAGAAACTCGCTCGACGCGTCGCTTCTCAGTCGTATCTTGATTATAGGATTAAACCGAATTATCATTAGTTGCCCTATTAACACTCAATTATTATCATTAAATAATTATGTTGATATATCAGTTTGTCAGCATGCACCCAGTTTAGTGTTCATTGCATGAAGATCGCTTTTAATTGTGCAGCATTCGTGAATATATTAATTTGCATGCACGAGTAATAGTTTTAGTTAGTCGCTGAAAATAAATGTAAACCAAACTTTTTCCATTTCCAATAAATGTTTCAAAATTTATACCTATCGTACAAATTCCTTGCGATGATTAGTTGTTGAACATTTTTGAACTGAATTAGTTTGAATCTTAGCCTGTAAAAATTGTGCCCATGGGAATTCTTTGCTGCTGTACAACATTTTAGATTTTTATTACATTTTTGTACTAAGTCATTCCGTATGAAGTCATCTGCCAATTTTATTAAAGATAATAATTTTTCAATAGATCTTTAAATTTACTGTTTATGTTTAACTTGGTACAAACTTGAATAGTTTATTATTTGATACACGATGACTTGTGAACTTATATCGTTCATTTCGAATTTCAAGTTGCCTGAGTGCGTTCTATATTATTTAAAATAATGTGTTTCTAGAATTTGAATACGAACGGGTAAAAATTTTCTTATCTTTAATTCATTATATTCCGAGCATTTTAATTTAAATGTAATCATCAATTTCTTTCTTTAGATTATTTTATCTTTGATCGCTTGTACGGTCACAGTTTCATGCAGTGTTTGGGTATGCCTGACCCAAATTAAATTGTTCTCAAATCTTCGGCAATTGAACGATGCCGATAAAATGTAACGATTTTTTGACTAACTAAAGAAGCTGTGCAGTTGATCCAAGCTACTTTATATTGTGCACTTCACCAAAAAGATATTTCTACCTCACTTTCATTTTTAGTTCGTTCGTACACTGATTAAGTCACTTGATAATATTCAACTTGATTGATAGTAAGCATGATGATCTTGTTTGTCACTAAATGAGGTTTGGTCGTCACATATCGGTGACGTCGAACACAAACGCTTTATTGCAGACTGTACGCAACAGAGGCACTAACGGCCATACTCCGGGGTCTGCGGCCGACACTCACGAGATGGTGACACCAGCGTGCGGGAATTGTGACAGCGCACAAACCTCAACCGCAAACACCAACAACTGCAATGCTCCAACTACTGAGGTGACTGCCTCGTACCTGGTCTGTACTGAGTTACTCTATGTACAGGATTTACTTCGTTAGGGTACGCACACAGTGGAAGCAGGTTCGCCCGCGCAGGCAACCTGCTCCAACCTGCCACAAGAATGAACATAGGATAATAATGTAAGTTTTCACAGTGAAAACCTGTACGAATAGGCTTCTGTATTCTATGGTTTCAGGCGCCAGCCTGAGCAGGTAACCAGCACGCTGGCAACCTGCTTTCACTGTGTGCGTACCCTTACAATGCATTTCAGTTAATAGCTAGTCGTTAACCTTTCAAGTTATTCAAATGAAATTCTTACATTTTCTAGAACAATTGCATTACAGTTTTTTAGCATCGTCCATTATCATGTAAATTGTTTATAAACTACCAGTTGTTTCTTTCCCCGTTAAGGTGAATTTCGTGAAACTTGTCGCATGTTAATGCGAACAGTTCTTCGTTTGTTCATTGCTTGAAGGTAACTTTAATTTCTTTGCATTGGATTTCATGCCATGCAAGTCGGTGTCGGTGGTTCTATGCCGAGTTCTAGGATACAGGTTTATTCGAAAAATTAACCATTACACTACAGATGAAATTATTGGTGAAAATATTCATTGAAAGTTTCAATGGAGTATTAATAAAAAACAATGTTAATCTGAAATGGAATGGAATGTAATGTTTATCTGAAATAAACATTCCCACTTTTTTCATCATACTTCGTAGAAATTACTTTACTTTTTTTATTAATACGCCATTGAAACTTTCAATGAATATTTTCACTAATAATTTCATCTGTAGTGTAATGTTAAGTTTTCGAATAAACCTCTACCCTAGTAAACTTTTGGTGAGCCGAAATTTATTCACATTCAAGATTTTAGTGCCAGCAGAGAATCACTGCAACACTAAAGTCATGACATGCGAGTATCGGTCTCATCACGAAAATGGTATCATGCCGGAAGTGCTAGCGAAATTTCCCTTCAAATATTAGTCAGAATTCATGTCTTAACGAATCAAATCAAAATGGACGTAAAACCTGAATGAACGACCACTTTCAAATTTACTAGCCAGCATCGGAACGATATTCTGAAATAAACGATTTTGTTAATTTCATGGCGATATATTCGTTTCGTTTTAAGAGCATAGGGAGCTCCGCCCCAAGAACTGGTCGAAATTTAACATACATTCCATTATTGATTAAGAGAAACGTGTAGATTTTAACATACACTTAGGGGGAAAGGTAAGGATTTGCTCTTATATTGACATGTTGATACATTTTTATTGTACATTTGGAAGCGATGAAAATTTTTCGCCTATCACACGTATCGCTCATAAAGTTTATGAGCGTTTCGCTCAACCATTAGTACTCGCTCATAAATGATAACCGAGAAATAAAGCTCCTCTTTGGCGGACTTTTAAGTTCTTCTTTAATTTTATTTTCGAAACGATTCCTTCCATGCTGACAGGAGCCCGAGACTTGCGTGAGTCTAAAAAATGTTTTACATTCCCGGTATATCGAACAACAATATCCACATATTCTCACTTGTATAGAGGGAAACTCGTATATATGCATGGCACTATTGGGAACCATCTCAACAGGTCCGAGCACTTGCTTGCTCGCTTTTAAATGCATTTCATCGTGCTTAATTGGTGCTATCGATGAAATTGACTCGATGTTTCACTCAGCATTTAGCTGGATGTGGAAAATTCGAAAGCCTACGACGTGCGTGTTAACGTCTCTGCACAAGTCCCGCCTGCTAACTCGTCATGCATGATGTGACTTGGGTTATTAATTTTGAAAACCTCAATTTTATTAAATATATGTTGAGAGTCTTGTTTAATTAATGTCAATAGCTCACAAATAAATAAGTAGAATTTAATTTCTTAGCTTTTTTTCGTTGGTACCATAGTGGCATTAAGGCATCGAAAGAGTCGATGTGTCTCGATGTATAAGCTTTTTTTGGGAGATTTTTTTTTCATGTATAACTGCGCTGTGCTTAAATGTTTTTGAGAATTATTCCGGTATTTTTCTCCCTTTATCGCAGGAACCAAAGGATGTTAGTCAAGTAGAGTACACTTTTCAGGTAACTATTTCTACGGCAGATGTACTGTATTGGCACTTATAGATTCTACAGACTGAGATATTTCGCACTCAGTGTATAAGTTTAGTTATATCATTTTTGGATGTTATCTGCATGAAATCTATTATGAAATTTTAGTAGTTATAGTTTTATCCGTTTTGAAGAGTACAGTTTTTTTTTATTTCAGATAACGTTTCAGTCATCAATCGATTTATGACATCAGTGATCTCTGTAACGTCTAATGTAGTTTCGTAGATATTTTTCAACCCTATCCATACTTGATTAACAGTTACAAACAGTTTTGTTAATGGATTCATTTAACAGGATTTTATGTGATGCTATTATTTCAGTTTCGTGAAATCGTTTGTCTGATATTTTTAACAGTGTGGGCTAAGCGCTCGAAGTGCGTGCATGTTTTTACATGGCCAACTGAAACCTTTACCTCTAACAGAATGTGCATTGTGCATGCTACTTTTTATGCGATTTTATTCGCAAAACCCCCTTCCACGCATAGAGTAATTGCAACAAAGTGTTGAGTGGAAGTTGAATAATGACATGTTATCTCTAATTATTTTTGTAATGTTGTATAGAGCTACAAATCTTTAATGAGTTTGTTTTTGCTACCCGCATTATTTTGATATTTAATTGTAAATGTTGGTCGGAATGAGAATGTTGTGCTAATTTAGTTGAATTTTATGATTAGTGGCTACGTCGTTCAGTGTGCGTAAATAACCTGTATGAATTTGCCAAGGATTCCTCTGATATGTTTTTAAAATTGAGAATATAGTTTAACTTGTCTATGGAGATTTTGATTAAAAAACAAATTCATAAAAGTTAAACCACTTTGACGCTTGTAAATAGACAGTAAAAATAAAATAAATAAATAAAAATGAAAATATTGCATTTTTATGCATTTTGCACCGATATGGTCCTGTCGCTTTTCGGTCAATTAAAGTTTCATGTTAGCAATAAATTTGGGAAAATGGGGTGTAATTTCATAATAAAAGATAAGTATTTTTATTACAGATGTGGCGAAAAAAAATAAATGTAATAAATCTGCTACTTCATCACGACCGTAAATTTCTTACATGATGCTAAGCTAACTATCTACATTAAGTTCCATAATTCGTTACAAACGCATGAAATGTAAAATTTTTTGTTGTTTTCCTGAAACTGTAAATTGTGTAAATAGTGAGAATAATGTTTAAAAAAGCTTAATTTCATCCACTGAAGGTAACTTGGTGACTTCAATGCTAAGTTTCGTGAAGTTTAACAAAGCTCTCAAATTACGAGTATTTTATCGCAAAGAAAAATGTACAGAAGTGTAATAACATCACGAATAGCGTACCTATTCTATGTTGAGAATACTTGCGTACAAGTGTACGCATATCTTCTTTTTGATATGACAACTTTCTTTCGTTTTCAATAGCATTTACGAATAAGAACGCGTTGACGTTGATAAATTTCTTCCAATGAAGATGTTTGATGTTTTTACATCAAGTGAAAAATTTATTAACGAAGTAACGAGGTTCTTGCACTTCTACGTAGGGCTGTTAATTCAGTATGTGATCATCTCGTGTGAAAATGATGTGCCACCATAGTGATGACAAAGTGATTACTCTGCGTCGTATCTGATAACTTGAAAAGACTTAATGGTACGCACATTCTAAGTGTAGGTAATTCGTTTTCTATGTTTAAGCTTAGTCCTATAACTGGAATCAATTACTTAATCACCTACATGTAATGCGTATTTTTATTTGGGACTGACTTCGCGCGCTTATGTTTTTATCCGACTAAACAAACCATTTTTTAAGAATAGAAAATACAAGTTGACCACAATTAAAGAAGTTTATGGGCGACAGGATTATTCATGAAATCAAGTAAAGTTTTGTTGGAAGGTAACGTGCGACTACTGTGAACAGTTGCACGAGTATCAAATTGCGTACGTTTGAATAAAAGTTACAGTAGTGTGTTTTATTCTCTTTTTTTTTTTTCATTTCGACCTTTGCCATAGAGCTTGTATATCAAATGGATAATGTGTTGAAATTTGTCACATATTAATGTTTTTAGCGCATTTCTCATATATGGAAAAAAAGGCGCTATTGTGCTCGTCATGTCCGTCCGTCCGTGACTTCACGGACGGACGAGAAAATGCTCTCTTTGTCACTCACTGCAGTGAGTGGTACTGATCTAATTTTTTTTTCTTACAGCAACCTCCACGCAAGAACAACCCCCCTCACCCTATCCGCGTGGCCAAGTCCATCGACGTGATCTCGCGCGTGGTCTTCCCCGTAGGCTACGCCGTCTTTCTGCTCTCGTTTTTTGGGTACTATAAAGGCTTCCAATGACAGGAGGTAGGACTTCCTGAGGTCTGCCGCCTCTGAGACCTCCAGTGTTTTGCACAGTGAGGGATGCCGCAGCCTTCATGATGCTCCTTGTTTTTTGAAGCGTATGTTAGGATTTCGAAAACTTTCGATTAGATCATACGTTACCATAAATCAATAATTTTTAATGCATGTACAGTTTTTAGAGTCTTTGTGAATTCATTTAAATGCTTGTGGGCTGAAAGCGTATACCCGAATACAACTCTGTATTCATTTAGCATTAAATGGCACTGTAAGCACTATCTGAAATGGAGAATTGATAGTTACGAAAGATAAAGGGTGCATTTCTTTATGTAAACATGTAAAAAATATCGCTTGTTTTATAATCACGCAAATTCTAATTGCTTTTACAGTGTAACGTCACTCAGTTTAAATAAATTCAGTCGATGTTTTTAATCAAATCTAATTTCCTTCAGAGCTTTGACTTCTGAGTTCTAAAATAACTTTCTTCCTTATAGGAAAAAAGTCCTTATGATGCACATTGTTTTGTTCCGGCTTTCAGATGTACTTGCTCTCGTTTATTTTCATATTTTACTAGCTCATAATCAACTTATAAAAATTGTAGCGGGCACTGATCGTTTATTTAACCGCTAACATCCGGAAACGACGCTCGGCTCTTAACTACTTAATGAGAAATAATTTCAAGCACGTGAACAATTTTATGCCATTGTTGTACCGAGATCTCGTCAATTCTTCTGCAAGCCTAAAGTAATTACCTCGAAATACTCTATCATTCGTAAAACATCAAGTGCGCAATGTTTGCCTTGTGATAAATGTAACATTCAATATATAAATGTCCATTTTCTCAGATAAGTATTCGAAATTACTTGATTATATCTAGCGCCTGTTTTAAGATATTAGTTGTAATTCTTCTTAAATTACGTGACCAATTTATTATTCAGGTAGTATTATCCTACAGGCTGTCTGGGGACAGCTCAAATATGAATGAGTTTGGCATGTGCTTGTTTTTGGGAGCACTCGGTTTAAGCAGTTTTTAGGGCTGTTTTTCTGTCTTACGCTTGTCAATTATTGCATCATTTCTTCCTGAATTGAATCATCGCTATAGAAGAGCCTATTTTAAAAATGATATATATTTCACTTTCACACGGTAAATAGTTGAGTTTCATAAATCTGCTGACGAGATAGTCATTGGTATTTTAATACCCTATCCCTATGAAACAAGTATAAATTTTCGACTAAAATTCAAGAACCTCGTCAGAGGTTTAATTTTAAACCAGTGCTTTCTCTGCTATTGCACAGATGTACTGGAGTGTTAGTTAACTCTTGCATGAAACATGTATTTGTACTTCAATAATATTAAAGTGGTTGTCATATTTTCACACATATTTTTGAATACTCGTGCAGGCCATGTATAGCTTCATCGCCATGCAGGCCTATATGTGCAGGCAATATATAGCTTCATCGCCATGCAGGCGATGTATAGGCCTATATGTGCAGGCCATGTATAGGTCTATAAGCTCGTCTCTAATCGAATTTTCTTTGGCCAGTTTGACGTGATGGACTGGAAACAATGCTACATGGTTTTATGCAATCAGACTTGAGCAGTGCGGAATGCAAAAGTGAATACCTTTCCATAGTGCAAGTGTAATTGTTGTTTTGATGCATTTGCAATTTCACTAGTTACTCATTTGCATAATTTAAAATTCTCTCAAGATGCAAATCAGTTGCTTCTCTTCAGGCGAAGAATAAGCTAACTCGATTCCATTTTGGTTATTTTTTTTATTTCCAAACAGTTTGATTAATTTTCGAAGTTTCCTTGATGATTTATTAATTACAGGAAGTTGATTATCGTATGAAATTTTTAATATGAATTTTTTTCAGATATCGCACTAAACCCGTTGTTTAGTGGAAGCGCCACCACCTGCTAGTGGAAACCAAGCTTCTGTTATAGCGACGGTGGTGGTGATGGTGGAAGCTCCCTCATCGATGACGCTACCTAAGGATAAAATGTGCTCTGAGCAGAACAAATTGTTGATATCTTATAAACATGCTCATTATCTGAACCTGTTTTCTGATCACAAGTGCAGTGTTGACTCCAATATATGGTGATAATGAGTTTCTTGTTTCGAATCAACGAAACTCGCTCAACGAAATCGCCTATCTTATTCAGATATAAATTAATCTTTCCTTTTATCCATGATTAATCGAAGCACGTAATACGTAGCATGCCCAGTTGACATTTTTTAAAGATCCATAACAAAAGTTTTATGTGGTTTCGGTTGTATCCACACGTGACGCACCCTATTCCTTGTAGAGTTTGAACTGCATATTGTCTCCGCAACTTATTCGTCTCGGTATTGATCGCATATTAATGTTTTTATGTAAGAAATTCTAAACTAAAACAAGCAAGAACTCAACCGAAGCAAAGCCTATACTAATATTTATTTTAAGCGTACCAACGTGCATCTTTTTGGGCGACAATCTAAATCTACTATGCATTTTTCTTCCCATTTGCTTATGCTGTCCAGGGTTAAACTTGGAGTCCTGAATGCTAGTGTTTATTGCTGTATCCAACTGAAGATGGAAGTTATTATACATTAAGATTCTAAGTGCAGCAGTAATGAGGTTGTGATTTATGTAGCTTGTGACCAGAAGTTGAGGTAATTTTCAATCATTATTACGTCACGATCTCACTTTTTTTCAAAGTAAGATTTCTAAAGTCGGATTGAATGTCTTGGTTCAGACATTTTTTGTGATAGAAGCTGAAATGTTAGTTTGAATTGATAAGATTTTCATAATTTTTGAGAATCCTGCCGTAGAAAAATTAATAGAAGCTGGTCTCGGCTGATATTGGGATTAAGATTAACTTAAATATACGTGTTTTTGCACCAACGTGGAAGGCGGCACTATGGAGTCGAAGCTGTGTGGAGTTCCCAAGTTTTGGACCACAAATGATGGCGTAAGACGCGTCAATCTCATGTTCTTGTTGCCTTTATACTGCACTTGTTCTCTATAAGATTAGATGAAGTTAAGGCAGTCATGCGAGTCGCTGTTTTAGGAAATCCGTCGTTAGATTGCGCTAGCCATTCATTTCTTTCCGGTAGGAAAGGTTGCGCTAAGCGCAATTTATTTCAACATTTTGGTGTCGTTTCTTCGCTCAAGTTTCCATTGCTTACTAAAGTTTCGAAATAATTAGGCATTTTAGAGCTCAAACCTTGTGCTTGATACCTTTTTCGTTTCTTTTCGTTATTGCTCCAAATTTATTGGCACGTGGCTAGGTTTCTCAGTGATCTTTTTTTTTAGATAGCATGGTCAGGTTTAATTAATTTAGTTCGCTTTCAACACGGTATCCATTCGCATTTGTTAACTTTAGATTTTGTGCTTGAAATGATCGATGCGAGCGATGTTTTCATTCCATATCTAGTCAAAATATACATCAATTAAAAGGGTTAAAGCGAATTCTTTGTGATTTTATAGAAAGTCATCTAGTCCTCAGAATTTTTTAAAACGCTTCTAAACAGTACAAATGTTATCGTTTACTCGGATTCTATTAACGTTATTTGTTTTTAAGCTTTATTGTCCCGATCATATAATTAACTCATCATAATGTACTTGTCTATCGTGGCCTTAACATAGAATTGAATGTGAAAATTTTCAATCATCAAAAATTTGATTCAATTTCGATTCACAGGTCGATGTCCTCAAAAAATCCAATTGCGAAAAAAATCCAAAAAATCCAATCTCAGATCGATCGCTTCAAGTTGTATTTCCACTTGAGATCACCCAACTAGACTGCTTATCTGGAGCAGAAATGCTTGGCACCAATTTTATAATCCTCATGGATTGCTGCTATATTGATCACTATGATCAACGACATAAAATCTTCCGTTGCGCAAGCTTTTTAAGTTTCCGTTTCTATTCAAAACCTCAAAGAAGTTGGATTATAAGGCGTTATTCGGCTACGCAGGGTTTTAGGCAGTTGTTCGGTAATAACTTTAAAACTATTTATTTGATAACGTTATACAGCAGAGCCGCTACGAAGCTTTTAGAAAATTTTAAGTAAGTTCCGACCATTATTGCTAATTTAATCTTGAAATGAGCAAAATTAAAACTTTCGGTTCGGATGATCTAGTGTAAATTTTAACATCGAGGGCGAAATTTTATGAAACAATTCGTTCACATGTCTCCCAATAAACACGATTAGTGATACATTCGAATGATTAATTTTAATTAAATTGCTATTAATCTGTTAATTATGATGTCATTTATGTTGTGTGATTGTTAGTTTAGTTAATAGTCTCGTACAATGATTTGGCGCAATTAGAAGCGTCTACGTATACGTTTAATTTTACCAAGAATTTCTGTGATCTTTTCATTCCACGAGGCGGACCAATGGCCAGGAAATATTCAACAAAGAACCAAGGACATGGCAGAGTTGTTAGATTGTTAGTGCGAAGATTCGTGTAGTTCAACAATTGAATATTTAAGAGACTGCAAGTGTGATGAATTTATTGTTGCGTCCAAACAATAATCTGAACCTCTAATCGAAGCAGTTTATTTATAGCCGTTTTACTGAACATAGCTTTTGCACTTTGATTAACGCCGTAGATATGCCGCGTAGAAGTATGATGGTATTTTTATGGGCAATAAAAACTTAACTTGTTAAATCTAATCATCGCGGAGCTACTGTTTCCCAAGCTTTCGTCGTATCCCGGCGTTGACGCCTTATGTGAATACGTCTGTATTGTTGTACTCTTATTGTATATTAATCATGTATTCCTATTATACTACTAAACAAAAGACATTAAACCAGCATTGTTAGTTATCTGCTTCTGCTATAGTATCGGAGAATAGTTTTGATTTCAATCACGTTAAAATCACGATCTGTAGTAAAATTAGTTTAATATTGTTAAAGATACAACCAACCATGATTTTATCCCAATTGGCATCTTCCGCAAGTTTCTTTCTAGCTCGCGATAGTGAGCATATCTTCATCTTCATTCACTCATGAAAATTGTCGCCAAATTAACGTGCGACCTTGTGTGATTGTCATCACTGAAAGCCACCTTTCAATTTTTGAGAGCTCCTACTATTTGAATCACTTTATCTTAAGGGATTTAGTTCGGGAAAATCTCAGCCTGTTCGATGACATTTTTGAGCGGTTGACTCTGAGTTGATTCGTCCACAGGCCCAATTGAAGCGTTATTCACGTGTGACGTGAACCGCACGCACTGTCGAAATATTTGCTTGTATTTTCTTTTCTAATGGACAAGTTGCGAGTATAGACTTTTTCAAAATGAGTTTATATCAAGAGCTGAGTAGAAATATGATTCAAAAGAAACACATGAAAAGTATCGGACGAAAAATGCTGGAAAACAATTTTACCAAAATACTTGATGTCCAGTCTACCTTTTTCCAATTGATAGTATTGTGTAGCAAATAAAGGTTTGGCTTCATTGTATCAGTATTTTTACCAGTATAACTCGACTACTGGCAGGGTGGCCGAGGGGTTAAAGTTCTTAACACCAAATTTGGAGCGGTGTGTTGTGGGTTCGATACCAGCAGCAACTGTGAAAATTCTGTGATTATCAAAATCAGCGACAGGCCAGATGGCCTTACCGTCTACGCTGACACTTCGCTTACTATATGTTATTATTATAATTTATAATGAAACCAGTTTTCGCCGTTTCATGTAAATTTGCTATGTGACTTTTACGGTTTGAAATTTCATGGTATCCATGCATTCACTGAAAAAAAGAAATGGTTTTCCTCTGAATTTACGCCGCATGATTATAACTGATCCCCTAATAATTGATAAATTCAGGGCAGAAGTGTTAGAACTAACACTGTTTATAAGGTCTTGATTGTGTTTTAAGAGATGACATTGACAATATTTTATTTGGGGGTGTTTCAGGACACTTAATATGGCGGAACAAGCCTTGAACGACTCGATCAGAATTAACAAGTTTTTTCCACGAAGAACCGTTTTACTGGAACATCTACGAGCACTGGGTATAATTTTCAATTTGTTCATTGCTTTTTCTTTAATTCTTAATATTTGATGTTACATCAAAAAGTCAGAGAATCATCCCATAGCATGACATCACAGGTTGTATTTTTTATCATGTTACTAATGCAGACGATGATTAGAGGTATGAATATTATGAGAAAATTTCGATTTTTTCAACAAATATGAACTGTAATTTGCTGAAAGAATTTCCTTCATACTTAGACTCTCGACTGTACACTCGAAATCTGACGAGACTGTGTTTCGTCAGACTGTGTCAGATTTCGTCAATACTCGTTTGAAAACATTAATTCCAGTGTTTATGAAATGAATCAAATTGTGAAGTTTAATTCGAGTACTCTCATCGGCTGACTCTCGCGATATGTTAAGCCACAATGATGTACGTTTAATTATTTCTCAGAGGAGCTATCCGGGAATTATCCTATGTAAAAATTGTTGCTGTGGCTGCATATTATGCTTATTTTTAATTGCTTATTGTTCATAGGTAATTCAGACAGTTTGTCATTGTTTATCACTACTTTGTTGAATTTATGCTGTAAATATTAAACGTAGTATTCATTTGGACATTTGCTATTCAAATATTGCCGCAGCACATCCAGCTACTGCATTCGCATTGGCTACTGGCCGATGTATGACAATATAGCAGCACTGTTGCAACGAAGTCTTGTAGCAATTTAGTCAAGCAATGGAGGGAATTTTCATCCAATATCTTCATTGCTCTTACTTTAAATTATAATTTATCTGTACCATGAGAAGTTGAGGGGCTGAGTGGCCTTCAATTCTCGTACTTATATTTTAAAATTTAAATCAATAACCTTCGATATATTGCATTCACATAACTGTTTGTACGAAATTATTGAGCTCTGATTTGACTAATTTGTTCTTTAATTTGGCTAGTCTTGTTCAAGGAATGACTGTAGAGTAGATGCACGCTTACTTATCGTGATTTTAAGCACCGCACAATCGTATTCACAATTAGGCTAACGTAGCGTTACTAAATAGTTATATGCTGATCGCTTAAGCAGCCATTTCTCAGACCAGAATAAAGATGCCAGTTGTTTTGCATGTCTCTGTTGGTTCTTGAAAAATAATCTCTTCCATTTCGTGTTGGAAGGAGATCCAATCATCTTCCGAAACTTAGCATGTGATGTACGCCCGACAATTCGATCTTTCACTGGTGGTACACATTTCAGACCAATGAAGATGAGAATTGATCGAGACTAATTCATAAATGTTAAAATTTCTCGGAATATTCTCGATATTTCCTAATCTCATTACAAACCTACAACGATCAGTACTCTGAAGAGTTGAATTTTGAGAATGTACGTCGATAATAGTTCTTGTACACACAAACTTTAAATTTCGTCTTGACTCTCATATGGTTGGTTACTGGTAGGGACGTGTTACCGTGATTATGTACATAGTGTTAAGTATTACCGAAGAATTATATTTTACTCGTCATTTAGAGTTTATCACAATATATTCAGAATAGGAAAGAGATCTTTCTATGCGTTTGAGAATAGTGCACAAGCCAATTTATCTCGTAGCGTACTTGCGCAAGCCGAACGATTGTGGGCGAGATCGTTTCCCCAGTGCTTTATAATGCTACTCGCAAGTCTCTGCAGACAATTGTTGTTTGTTTCTAAAAAAATTCGTAAGATGTTGAGAGTATTACCCTCTATTAATGTTAAATTTATGAATTGTTAATAATTGCAAGGGTATTAGGTGTTAGGTTGGTACCTTTTTTTATCGTTCGGCGTTGAAACTAAATAACATTAATTCCTTGCTGCCACATTTTATTCTATTGCTTCCGTATTACCTATCTTGACTGGCTCAACAGGCTATGTCAACATTCATACATTTCATTTCTAAGTAACTATAGTTCTTTATCATTTCTTGATGACGAAGCAGGTTGCCATCAATTTTGTTCTCGAATGTTGCTAAGATATAGCAGACTCATTTTTTCCCGATTTTTCAAGCTTCTTAGCCTAATTATATCGCTCATGCACCATCACCGTACTGTACCTCATTTTTCCGATTGTCATCTTCATCATTATTGTCCAGATGCGGAATGGTTTATAACGTCAATCGTGAACGAGGAACGAGATTTCCTAATGAGCAAGATATTTTGGCACTAATCGCGTGCTCATGGAATTGATTTATTCTAAAATTCGCGAGTCCTTCCTGTCGTTGATCACCGTAAATAAAAATGATTTTCCCAATGGATTAAATCTTGTTCGTTCTTTGAAGACATTTAGTCATTCGTATCATTGTTCATGGTTGTTGGAACTGCAAGAGCTAATAAAGATACAAGTTTGTTCAATATTGTGAAGAGTTCAACATTTCAGTTAAGATTAATAAGGCCACTGTTACAGATCAATCGTGGAGTATTATCCGTATTGACAGCTGTTCTTCAGTATTCCCAACACCTTGTCAATTTCTTGAATTAGTAGAAACTGTACTTGGATATAATGAATGATGTATATACTTTTCCATTAAACCCCTATTATGAATAACAAAAAATTAATTTCCTCTTTGACGGCGATCGAACTAAGATATGCTTCGAACGTCATTAGTCTTCGACACCTTTAAAAATGAAATTAAATTCAGCTCTTCGTAAATGAATGATCAAGGCCGGTATGCTACAGTTCCGACGCTGTGAAATTAAAACGCGAGATAAACGTTCCAATAAAGGTTTATTCATTAAAATTTAAGTGTTAAAAACCGATTATTTGCACGTGGTTCGCAATCTTACACTTTGATTCAAATACTGAAATATGCTAACTCGAAATTTCTTCGAAAAAAAAGTCGAATCTTGAAAGCCTAATGGAAGTTTAAGATAATCGAAAAACTGTTTAAAATAATCTTGAATAAATTACACAATAGAATAAAGTTAAATTAGACAACGGGAAAGATGCTATGCATAGGATCAGTGTCGCAAAGGATCGCGAATTGAATTGTCCTCAACAGTATCCTCAGCATTACTTTTCACCACTGGAATGTCAACGAAGTCGGGTCGAGCGAGTTGAGCGACCTGAGCTTGCTTGACTCGACTCGTTTGTCCTGAAAATAAAATTTCTATTAACCGACAGAAGAACGACAAGAAACCGGTAAATGGTCCAGGCATTAAGAAATGATCGAGCGTAATGACTGCCACAAAAGAAATGAGCTTCGACGTTCAAACGGTTTCAAGGAACATCAATTCAATGGATTAAGCTTCAACTCGATGACAGTAAAGCGTGACTTACGAGCGTTGAGAACGGCGATTACTGGCATCCGTTGATGCGTTGGACGAGCGGGAAGATCGCGTGCTGATCGAACTGCTGGCAGGGCTTGCACTTCTGTGAGGAAATCATCAACCTTACTGCATGCATGTAAAGCTTACAAGGTTGTCGACCAATTACCCATTCGTTGAATTATAGTTTATTGACCTCTGAGGATTTTTTTATTGGTACAGGCATAAAAAAAGTTTTCAAATAATATTCATCACGACATATAAACGAATCGGCTGGCAGGAGGGAAAATGCTTTCAAATTTTGTGTCATATAAGTATTGAGCTATATATCCATGACGAGGTAATGTTAATACACGTTATATTCCCCTCAGTAGCCCACATTTGTACCGATAATAAAACTGTCTTTTTGAACTTACGACGAGGGAAGATTTTTAGTTCTCCGTAGCCTCTTGACGGCAGGACGCACTGGCGAAGAGCTACTGCCGCTGCTTTGGGCTGAGTTGCTCTCTGGTTATGCGAGACGGTGTAAGCAACAATACAAAGTTCAAATTCTGGATCATGCTTGTAAAGATATAAGGATGCAGTGAATGTAAGATGTTCATTTTCAATTCATTGTATCCAAGCAGAAATTTAGAACTTGTTTTGAACAGACCTTCAACAGACATGGGTTCTCTTGGTGATGGAAATTCATTCTCCTATAGCAATTTTTTTATTCGAAGCCTTTGTCACACAAACTCCATGTAAAGTTTCATCAACCAAAAATAATTATAAAGAATTCTTGCCTTCGCTCTGATGGGTTGACGTTATTCTGGCCTTGCGGTTGTCCGCCGATTTTTGAGTCGCGCTTCGTTTGCTGGAGACAGCCGGCTCCGAAGTGGTTGCGATTTCTTCATCGGTGGACGTGTCAGCAAGCGAATACCTAATCCCCAAAATAAGTTATATTTAAGAGTCATACACTTCCAAAAGTACGGCCTCAGTCGAGTTTTCATTACAATTTCATCCCATTAACTGATGGCGAACTCCAGCATTTTTAGCTCGAGCCCGCAGAGACAGGCAGAGCTCGGCAATTTTTGGCACAGGATTGGCAATAGGAAGTATTGATCGCATGACGAGAGAAGAAAGAGCTGAGAAGGCTTAACATGCATTTTTACTTCAAGGTAATCGGAAGTAACGAAATTCAAATGTGCATGCGCAAAGAGTATTGGCGTGGAACTAAATATGATTGAAGATAGAATTATAAAATTTAGATATATAAAATAATTTACAAAAATATCATTGAGAAAAGATTGATGTACAACCGAAGTGTGTTTACAAATGAATAAGCAATAGATTATGTGTTTTCAAAAAACTAATGGTGCTCAGTTACTGGGATATCGAGGAAACACGAGCTATGGCAAAGCTTAAGAATGAAATTTTCAAACGGTTCATCGCAAATACATAAGACGGAGCAGGAAATCAAGAGAGCGTCGACTGACCTCACAGCAGCTCGTCTAGACCGTCGACAGGCCGCAGAGACGCGCTTCGTGGCGCTGTCCTCGCTGGCAGTGGAGCTGTGCCTCGTCGCACGCCTAGTAGGTGGCCTGTGCATTCATAAGTTCTTATATTATAACTATGTTCATTCATATATTCATAACTTGTTCATAATGCAGCTACATTCAGATTTACTCGGAATTTGACTTTTAAGTTTCGGCAAAATACATTTTATCGAGCGAGAAAAGTTACGGGAGATAACCAGTTAATCAACCACGTAAATTTAAGAGGAGATGTCTCCTATTAGAAGCACATATTAATAAAAAACTGGAATTTATACCTACAATGTCTCTGCATTTATTTATTAACAATGCATACGTCGACGCCGTTTGGAATAGCAAGTTCCTTTGCCGTGCACTGAAATTGATAGAATTCTGTGTAAAGTTCATTTATGCAATGAATTAATCAAGCGTGCAATCGCATTAACCCTCTTGTGACTGACGGGACTTCTCGGTCCCAAACCACCATGAATATCATTGGCGACGGTAAATTGATACGAGATGGAAGGGTTAAGAAAACTGCCTTAAAGTTCAAATTTACGAATTGAATGAGATCGTGATTAAATTTGTGACAAAATAGATCATTAATAGTGTATCTTAATATATTGTGATACATGGCTACTTTCAACAAGACTTTGACGTTCGTTCTGCATTATAAGATACGAGTTTTTGTCCCTCTTGCAGTCTTCTCTTTATGCTGACCATCTGTGCTCTTATATACATAGTGCAGTGCTACCAAGAATCTAAAGTACTGATAGTCAATAATCCGCTTGAATTCAATAAATAAGTCCGCTTGAAAATTAGATTACACTCATTTTCCAAACAAAAACTGAACCGAAAACGACTAAAATGCACCCACCGGGCATCTTGTACGATTTCACTTCCGTCGGTAGCCAATTCTTCGTTTTTCTCCGGATGAGAAACAGGAGCCGCCGCGTTAGAAGTTGAGCCGGATGTAACGGCTTCAGAATCTACTGCAGTGTTATTGTGAGCAGCGGGTGAGGACTGTTTTTCGGTTACAGTTGTTTCTTTGTCATCCCACTCGCCCGACCTGCAAGAAAATAACGAACGGTTCGTTGACTGTTCAAAAACACGTCTTCAGGATATACATCAATAATGTCAATCGTGATTTTATTTGCATAAATAGTAGGTGTAAATAAAAGGAATACCATTAACTTTCAAAATTGTGTTCACCTGGGGAGAATAATGTTACTCTTTAACACGTTGACTACGATTGCTTCATCTTGTACTATTATTTCATTTTTGTACTTTTTTTAAGCAGGGTTGCCAGACGGTCATTTTTTCCGGACAAATTCCGTGATTTAGTTTTTCTCAATTGCGTTGGCCGGCTTAAATTTATGATAGGGGTACATCCTAATTAAATTTTAAATACTGCAAAAAGAAAATAAAAGGAATTTTCATAGCGGAACCTACAAATATACTAGTATACATTGAATTATCGGCCTTTTTTGGCTTTTTTTGTTCTCGGATTTGGCCGATTTTAGGCAACCTAAATTATGTACCACTACGTCCTGGAGAAATACATTTCGTGGTACGCATATGTACCAATACGTAGTCAACGTGTTAATAGCCTAATAAACTCACAATTGGATCTCCTGGTTGGACACGGCCAGTGTATCTGACTCAGTCGCAGCATCCTCTTCGTTCTTCACGGTGTTCTCCGGCTATGACATGAACGAAAGCAGAAATGAAATCGCAAACGTGCTTATGTCAGGGGGTTATCATTTTATACAATATGAAAAAAATAGTAAAACGCTAAGCGTTATCATTTGAATATAGCTTGCATCAATTATAAAATTTAACTGGAGTTAAAATGGGACAACTATGTTTAAGAAGCTTCATTTTCTACAGGGGTGATTGTGACAACCATATTTGATAATTTGCAAGTTAAAATCAGACTGAAGAGATCATTCTTAAATTCAGGAGGAAACAGGTGTACCTTATAGTCCATGTGCAAACCGAAGAAAAGGTAACTTTTTGAGTAGATCCTCCAATTTATACCTAAATTAGGTTTCATATCATTGTAAATCATTAGATATTCAATAATTCAGGTGTCCATTTCATTGAAATTAATCATTTTTAATCGGAAATACAATTAACATGGATTTTCATCAACTAGAACCTCAAGTCCAAGAACAAAATTGTGTCCGGTTGCTGACGACGCTCAAATAACAAAAGCCAGAGTTTTTCCAAGTCAAGTTCTTAATAATCTAATATCTAGTGCGCGGGTATTGAATACCGTATAACGGAATAAAATAAGTAATCAAATATTTAGTTTATACAGGTTATGCTGACATGGAAAGGAAACTCGACTGGTGTATACAAGTCAAATCACAGATTTGAAAACACCAAATACAGACACTGACAAATTTTCTGGTTCAAAAAGATTATATCTAATCAACAGAACAACAATTTACTAATTGCGAAAATAACTAATTCAACTTAAATCGAAGTAAAATCTTGCTCAAGTGAAACTTTCATAACTTACGTCTGTACGAGAATCTACACTGGAGGACGCTTTCTCTTCAGGACTGGCTGCATCTCCAACTTCAGACTCAACCTGGCAAGCAGATCTCACTTAAGAACGGCAATTGAAATTTTCCTCGAGCCATCGGGGTAACCACTTTTCTTCAATAAAAAAAACATAAAAATATAACTCGTTAATATTTAAACTGAATACATAAAAACGGCTGGGAAATGAATTTCAAATGCAGGAACTTATAAATACCTCGCTGGAAAGTAAATCTGCACGGCTCTCGGTTGAGTAAAGTTGGCGTTTGCGGCGCGCAAATGTCCCGTCGATAGACTTGCTGCACAAACTTGAGCTCTCTAAAATATAAGTAAAGGAAGTCATTAGTTCAGGCAAGCCATCAAAAATGCGTTCGCTTACACAAGCAGTGAATGCATATATATTATATGATTATGATAATGCACAGATAAATAGATTTATAACTTCAATATTACTTGGCATGATAAGTAGCGGAAAAAATAATTTCTTTTGATTTTAAAATTTATTTCAAAGATTTGAAGAAAAAACACATTTCGGTTATCTGTCTTGATAAATGAATAAAACCGCCGTCTCAGCACTATATCTAAAATTTTCGGAAAACATACATACACCGACAATATTAAACATAGTCAATTCATATTCCGATAAAGAAAAGTACCAGACGGCAACGTTCTTACGAATTCAGAGTATGTGAACACGTAAAATATAATGAAAATAACCGTTAATACAACATTAAATTTGAACAACCATTAATAAATTGCGACTAGATTTGTGACTCAGAAAGCAACTTACCATCAGCAGCACTGAGACGCTTGGACTCGTCAGCCGGCGCGGGCGTCTCGCTCCCTTGCTGTGCTGGAGCGCGCTTCAGAAGCTCCGTGACTGACAGCATAAACTTCTCCAGAGGCGTCATCAGGGTGCGGTCACCACGCACCCGCTGTCAGGTAGTCAGAGGAGAATTGCAATACAATTTGAATAGGGAATAACGGTACCTATTGACATGGCATAGATCAAAACTCGAGGGAGACTATGGAATGCAGCTTTGCAAATTTCGTTTAATCTATAAGTTCTTATGAATATTTTATTTGAAAATTAGTTATTAATTATTGGCAACTATAAACAGATGCCAATTCATGTAGGTACTTCTATGATGCTTGGAGCGCTGTATCGGCAGGGATTCTTCATCAATGATCAAAATGAGCAAAATCTATATACAGTTCTGCACAATGATTTTCTCCAACGCATCATATCGAGTTATGCGTGATCTCAATAAGTTAAAAGAGCACTCCACAGCAGAAAAACCGCTTTAAAAATATGAATATTTTTTAATTAGCAGCCTTTAAACAGAGTGGCAGGATCTTCGAAGCCAAGGTATGAAATGAAATATAGGATCAAAAAGCAAGACAAAATAAGATAACTTCCTTAGCATGCCTCGTAACGTGAGGAAAAGTGAACGGACAAGGTTTGTTAAAATGACTGAAGCAGCTACAGAAAATGTAAATAACACATGCCATATATTTGAGTTACCTTCATGAGCTTTGCCAGAAGAGTGTGCAGTTGGCTGAGGTTGGTGTAATTGTCGGGCGTGAGACTAAGCAGCCGCAGAGAACGGCAGAGGTGATGCGTTAGACTCGAGTTTGGATGAGCCAGCATCTCTCCACACAAAGTGAACACAAGAGCGTCGTGTACGTTTGTCTGCTCACATCAGTTAAAACAAAAAAACAATCAAAACATTTTTCCTGCAAAAATTATAAGCAAAAATGTGTGTTCAAGCCATGAAAAACAGCTTAAAAATTTTCTTACGGAGGTTAAGTTGTTGGGCGCAAAATTTTATGAACTTGCATCAGAAGTAACCATGTAGCAATCATATAACCAGGAGCGATAGTTGTGACGAATTTACGAAAATCACAATTGAATGACATTACAGAAGGAAATTGAAGATACATACCATATTTAAGTTTTTCCGAGTCATATAACACAGCACCTGTTGAACGTCCTTGGAGACGATGGCAGGACTGGTGATGCTCAGCAAGAAGCTGCACACGTCATCAAGGTCGACCTCATGATAGGGCGAGCGAGGGCTGGCTTCAGAGAGAGTGCGTAGAGTCCGAAGAATTGAGGCACTCACACACTCCTGGTGAAGGCCGCCTTTAGACGCGTAAACTGGGAAAAACGATCCCAACATTTGCCGTAGCTGCGTATCTTCTTCTGCAATAAATAAAACATGTTGCTGCAAAGAGAGAAAATAGATTGAACGCTTTAATAGCACTTATAACAGCAGACACAATATGGTTCTTCTAATCAAGCCTAAACTGGTACTAGTGAATTAAGACGCTGCCTCAACCCTTCAAGATATGTATAATTTATCAAGATGTTTCTCATAGCATAATTAATACATGGTTCTTAATGACATTTACTTGGATCATGTACAAAGCGTACTTCAACAGCATCTTTTGATTCAAATAACAAGTTGATCACCAAAATACAGCCAGCAGAACAGTATTTTAGTGATTAACTGAGGGGGAGCAGTCAGTAATGGTAGAGCAGTCAGTATACAGGCGTCATTATGAGTTTATTGAGCACGTACCAGTGAGGGGGTTGTACCACAACAAAGTGAGTTGGGATAACAGTTTCGGGCACTGCAGACGACTGAAATTTAGGAGCTTGCACAGCCCCAAGGCTACGGCATTACGAACTTTTCCATCGTCCTGCTCAAGTCGCTGCACATAGACATTGCATTAATTAAAACACAATATATAATAACTCAACCGTAACACTATCAGATCGAAAGCATTAATTTGGGTCACATTTTGTCTCTGCACTTTACTTGATACAAAAGGTAAAGTTGTAGGTAGTGTTGATGTTTCAATAATTGCTGTTATTCACCTCGGAAAGCACAGAGACGATCGCATCAGCGTCTTCGAGCACCGAGCTCTGGTCCTCTTGTTTGCCTTTGAGGTTCTCAAGACCGTGCAGCAAAAGCAAGTCAAACACAGCCTGCACGGCAGCAACCTGAATAGCCTCCGTGTCCACCTGACTGATCTGAAAAATAAAATAATTGTCAATGATTTGACCAGGCCGCGAGATCTCAAATAAGCTTCTCAAGGTTAATTCTGACAATAATCATAAGAGGGTGGGAAGAGTCTCACTTCCCACCCTATGGGACAGCCCTCTTCAGGATGCATACTTCCGGGCGTCCCTCCCGTCATTTGCCCACCTCCCTTCTGAGCAGTCTCTCGACGTACCTGAGTCTCGACACGACAAACAACAAGAGTACAATACAAGCATAGTCAACTATACCTGAATAAACAGTGGGAGATGCTTGCAGGCGAGATCCTGAGAGATGATGCACAGCAGAGCCAAAGCCCGCACCGACATCTCACGCACCAAGGCATCCTGGGAAGAACAAAAATAGACATGATGATTGGAGAGATAAACTAATATTGATTTCGATTCCAGTAATAAAATGCTTGTTCGGTCATAAAAATAAAATGATTTTCTAGCAAATCTTAAATCATGAAGCAAAAATTAGCACAATTTCATCAAAACGTCCGGATTAAAAGGCCTCATTTGACGAAAGTTAATCGATCAACTTGCTGATCGTGCAAAGGTATTGTGAAGAAACTTGCCTGGTTTTTGAGACATGGCAGCAGGAGATTGTCATGAAGAGAGTGCAGCGTGGGTGACAAGACGTTAATATCAGGATTGCGCAGCATCTCACAGACGATGGTGAGGCAATGCGAGAGCATCACAGGGTCTTCCTCCTGCTGCTGGGTCTGCTGTTGAGTTTGAGCCTGAGTGGTCTGCTGGTTTGCATCGACTGTCTCAACGGGGCTGGAATCAGTTTTCTCCTTCTGAAAGTAAATCACCAAATTGGTCAAAAATGTCTCGTATTTTTACCTATTTCCGCATTTACAATTGAAGCCTTTGTTAAGTTATGTTCAATTTTAATCTCTAGATTTCACAAACCTCCTTAACTTTAGGTGTCTGTTGTGGTGTGATGAGCTGCTGCTGGAGGGCTTCATGCTCAGACTGTAGGTCCTTGAGTTTCAGTTTTAGCTCCTGAGCGCGGTCCAGATCCAGGCTCCTAACGCACTCTTCGAGCGCCTCGCGCAGCTCGTTCAGCTGCACTCGAACTTTCGCCGCCTGTAATGGTAATGAATTAACTTCACTTTTTGTTTGAGATGAAACTTCAGAACAATTTCAGTTCAAAGGTAGTCAGAAGTGGTTTTGTTCGATGTAGTAGTTGCCAAGAAATTCATATGAATTGAAGGTAAAAGTAAGAGCAAAACTAGTCAAAACAAGTGTGCAATTTATAGCCAATTCATGATGACGTGTTAAGATGAATTTGGATCATTAAATTTAAAGAAAGTATTTAGGAAGTAAGTCTTCCCGGAACTGAAAATAACACATGAGCAATCAATGCCACTTGAAGTAAAGTATTTGGCCACATAGAAAACTTTATTTTTTTCAAAATAGGTACCTTTATTCAAAAATAGAACGACAAACAGGCAACAAGAAAATCTTTCGTCATATCTTTAAAATTACATATTTTAACCAGAGGATAAATTACATGGAATAAAACATGGATTTCTTTATAAGAAAAACGGTTCGAGTATTGCACATATATTTAGATAAGATTTATTCCCTCTAGAAAGTACCGTGCACAGATCTTGGAGCGGCTATGCTAGAGCTACAATGAAATGAAAATATAGCGAAATAGGAGACCTTCGAGCGGAATTCATTTGCCTTGCCAACATCGTACAAACACATAGCACTTGCAATAGGTACTTCATCCACAGTTTTTCAATCTCAGCCCAAGTCATCACCAATATTCTACTGACGTTTCGTCATTCCTCCATCATATTTACCTGAATTTTCTTGGCTCTCATCTCGTCCTCAGACATGGCGGTCGGCTGGGGTACGATCTCAAGCTGTTCTTCAGTTGCTGTCTTTGAGGCACTATTGCCCTCTTCGATTTCTTCACTAACGGGCTCTCGAAAATCTGCCAATAGAAAAAATATATATTCTCGATTTTTGTAGTGCCTCTGTTAAAACGATTACAATGGAGCTGTTCTATAGCACCTCAGTCATAAATTCAAATTTACAATTTTTCCTTGCTTTAAATGGCAGAACTTAGCAGTCGAGCACTATTTTCCATGATAGCATATATATTTAACAAAAATTTTATCAATCTAATCACACAATAATGGACAAGTATTCACCTGGTAAGGTTTTCAATTGGACACCCAATCATGATCGCACTTCAGAAGACACAAAACGCCTTTAGAATGACGTTGACAACACTAATGGTTTGAAATACTGAGGTAAATTCTTCATGAGACTAGAAGCATTGCTGCAATAAATTGTTAAATCTTCGCCAGCATCTGCACAAACATTAACTTTTGAAGCCTCGACTGACCTGAAATTATCTCTGCCAGCTGCTGCACCCGTGAAGCAGGCGGGTACAGACGACCAAATGCTTCCACAAGAACAGCAATGGAAGCTTCGCCCAGATTAGGGCACACTAGCAGCCGTCGGACCATCTGTACCAATGATCGGCGACCAACCTGGAGAATAAAATCTCAGTAATCAATGTACACCACGTAAATTAAAACCACTCCATTATTTAGGATTTAGACTAGTATCCACTTACCAATAAATATTAGACACGCGTGGCACCGGATGAGATGGCCCACAAAATGAATAACAAACACTGCAACTCTTTGATAGTCAATAACATCATCATCAATACAGCTGCCAATCAATAACAATAACAATGTAGCATCAATACTGCTGTTTATGTCATATGAGATATGAACATCATGTGAGAATATTAAAATTACATCGTAGCAAATTAAATGAAAATTTATCAGGTACATTGTGTTCTAACATGTGACAACACCATTTTTAACAAGCCTAGGATGTTTCCATGTCCAACCTAACCTGTTTTCCCTCCAGCAAGAAATAATAACAAATTATTGTTCAAATTACATGCCAGCTCACCGTTCCCTGCCGGTGTGGCTCTGTACACTTTGGGGCGCACTGGCTCACCTCATCAGCAAGATCGTAGTAAGCTGTGATATGTACGAGTTGCTGCAGCACAAACTGGCGCTCGAGAAGCTGCACAGCAGCGGCGTGCTCATCTGCCACCTCGGCTTCAGGACTCAGAGCATATGCCTCCGTGTAGCGACAGAATACACTCAGGTCAGGTAGTATAAAATCAAGCTCCTCATCAGCTTCTTCTTTCCTGTGCAAAAGGAGAAAATTGTCAATTGTGTTGATCAGCTCTGAGCTCACACGCTCACAAAAAATGTATTCCAAAAGGGTTGTTGAAGGAATTTAGTGCTTCAAGCAGAAGATAAATAGATTATGTCAACCTTACAAAGATAGGTACTTCATTTCACACATTTCACTAATTCTTTACAAATTCACAATAAAACGACACGATCGTGAGTAAAATGCAGCTTCAAATTATACAAGATTTCATCTCTTTCAGAGAGCGTATGATAGTTTGTAATTAAATGCTGGACAAACCAACAATGTTCTTTAAAATTAACAATGTTAACTAAACTAACAGTCCAAGTACACTGAGCCTCACTTCAAGTGCTTTGCCAAGTTCTTCCAATATAGGGCACTCTCTGGTTTGAGCTTATCAAGGGGCAGCAATTTATCATCATCAAGGAGGTCAAATCCTTGAACGAGCGTGGCAGCAGGTACATCCATGAAGACTGCATCCAGAGCCATTTCAGCCTCCTTTGTGAAAGCTTCAACATCAAGACAAGTGAGCAGATCCAAGACACTGCTATTCACAAAACGTAGCCAGGAATTGAGGAGGTTTTTCTGCACTGCAACTCGGACCACATCACTCCGGTCGTTAAGTCCCTCAGAAAGCAGACGTACGCGCTGACTGATTTGAAGGGACTTGATGTGTACCTTCTGGGCCAGCACAATGTAGGCCTGAAAAATGATCATGCATCACTGATAGCAAAAATGTCTATAGAGAAGGGCAACTTAAATTAACTTTTAGCAATTTATTCAGCATCAGACCCAAAAAATTTCCCAAGACAATGATAAAAAACACAGAGGACGGAAAATGGATATAAAACTAAAGTTAAATTCATGCAGTTTATCTACACAGGTGACCTATCGTGATCTAAAATTTGAAGTTCCAAGTGTATAAGAAAGGCAATTCAATCAGGAAGTTAGTGCATTGCCTAAGTTAGTAATCCCACCTGACGGCGCACGAGGTTGTTCTTGTCTCGAGTGCGCTGTAGGACATCAGGAAGAGTCTGGAAGTTGAGGGCTGTGCAGCAGAGAGCAGCACGTCTCACTTCACTGGCAGGGTCCATGGACAGGTGGTAGCGGTAGGCTGCACGTTTATATTTGTCACAACTGTATTTTTGTGATGAACATAAAACTATACAACTTTAACATGATAATAATTTGGAAGAAATCTGTATGCATGAAATGATAAACAGAATAGTTAGTCATGAGATAATACAGTATATATATATAATTATTTTAAATTCAGTGACAAGTTGTCAAAATAATAATACAAAAAAGGAAATATTGTATGAAAAGTTACAATACAAATACCCAATGAATGAAAAACCAATTTTCATTCAGCTAGTAAATAGTACCTATGCATAAATTGCTACTGGTAATTTATACATATTTATATTACATTTATTTTTAAAGCCAACAATACTTCATTACTTTTTTTAATAGCCTGACTGGCACAACATCAGAATAAGAAGCTGACCTTTAATCACAGGACAATCTTTATTAGTAGGATCCTGGAGTCTGTTGAGAGCATGAATAGCTTGCACCCTGACAGCAGGCTTGCGGTCCATGAGTCGCTCAAGCATGGTATCATATATCGTGTTGAAGAGGTCATCATCAAGGCTGGCTGACTTGCCCATGCTATTCAAAATGCGGTTAATAAGCTGACATACACGGTAACGCACAGCTGAGCTCTGGGCCTCATGAATCTGGAACAAATATTTTAGAGCATATAAAAATTATTGCAAAATATATTTTTCATGAATGATCCTAACCTTAGAAATAAAATGTTTTCTCATGTATTTAATTTCATAAAAAATGTAATCGTGTATTTAATTTGTAACTGTGAATTTATCAATTGTTAGAATATCTTCAGTGCAAATTTTCTAACATAATTTCTACAATCAAATCATTTTATCAAATTGAAAAATTTAACCAAAACACATCTCCCAAATCCTTTAACTAGACTCATCAGAAAAAACTTTCAAACAGGTTAAATGTAGTGTCTTTCCACCTTTATCTTTGTGAAAAATTTAATCTTTATGAAGTGAAATCTGAAATTTGAGACCTATTTTAGTCTGAATGACAGTGGACGCAAACTGGCTTTTTGGTTTCTACTCTTACATTCAAGAGGAACTGGAACATTTTGATCAGAAATTCATCCACATCATTGTCAACCTCTTCTTCTTCTTGCTGCTGCACAACAGTGGAATCTTGTGAGGATGATGAAGAAAGTTCCTTCTCCTTGTCCAGCTCTTCAGGAGTTTTGCCCAAATCTTTCTCATTGTTGTGGTTGGATTTCTCATTGCTTTTATCCTCTTTCAGAGTTTTATCATAAGTGGTAAATGTGGCCACAAATGAGAGGCATCTTTCCACTTGAGGATGCTTCTCTCCCACAACAAGGCACACCTTTAGGAGGTCCACAAACTCACTGAAGAAAATGTCAAAGTTGGTCTGCAAAAGAAGAAAAAATTGTATTCTGAATAATTAAGAAATACAAGAAGACCATGTAAGTTATTGCTCAAGCAATTTGATAAAAATAAGATACTAATTAGACGTGAGCAATAAAGCATCTTTCATGAGCATGAGAAGCACTTTTTGATATATATATACTAGAGTAGGTACACAAAAAGTCATAGCTCCTCTTATTATTATTGAATATTTAATTATAAAAGTTGTTGCATCTGGAAACAAATTATACAAGTATTACTTACCTTATGGTAAATCTTTGTGAGGTGGACACATAATTTTGAATGAACAGCCAGAGTCTTTTGAGCAGCTTCAAATACTTTTTGCAGACTGTTCTGGCCCAGCTTATTTTTGACAGTGGTAGGAGCTGGGCCAGCAACTTTGGCAGACTTGGCAGTCATAGTTGGAAAAATACTTGGTACACACTCATACAATCTAAACAAGTATATAAATATCCACACACTAACTAAAATGAACCAAACAAGAAGTATTATCCCCCTTGTCTGAAAAATAAATATAAAATAAATAAGTCATCATATCGAATATGTATGTAAATGACGCACAAATCCCATCATAATCAGACCTGCATTTGTCATCAATAGAAGGCCTTGCCATACCATCTACATGTCTATCTAACATTGGCAACAAAGCTTTCCCAGTTGCCGCCCCCAGAACCTAGATCAATCTGCCAGCTTCCATAACATCCAGCTACTTTCTTGCAGGGGTTTTGTCAATGCCTAGAGATGGAACTATTTTGTAGAGCCTGTGAATTGAGTGCTTAGTAATTTTTATCCAATCTCATCCTTTCCTGTGTCTATTTATTTTTGGCTTGCTATAAAACTTATGTGTAATGCGCACTTAAGAGTTTGTTTGAACTTCAAATTAAAGTTCATTGTAGAATAATAATGATAGTAATGATATTACATTATTTGAAATATTATAAAATTTAGCAGTTTCTGTTTGACCCTCCAGCCCAAAACTTTTCAGCCAAGTCCAAAACATCTTTGTGACCTTTTTCCCTACGTTTGAAATCTCCTTGCCCTACAGTGCACTTTTGTTGACACTTGACAATTAGATAGGAAATAAATAATTCATCTAGCAAGAATCTTGAGGCTTCAAAAATGGAAGGAAAGCTCTTGTTGCAGCTGAGAAGGTACATATATTCCATGACAGCTGTACAGCACTGATCAGTTATCAGTTAATTTTTTAGCAATCCCAACTGGAAATTTCATTTCCCTGATAGACATACCAGTATAGTCAGATGGGGAAAGACAACCAAAATCACCAAAAAGCATGTGGCATCTATCCCATGAATAACTGAAAAACCCTGAACATATCACAAGTATTTGTGCAATGGGCTTCTATACTACCTACAGCTCAGACTTTCCCAACTTATAGTCTTCTGTACAGAGCAAAAAAAGGTAAGCCAGACTGGGATAAGCCAGGATCAACTGGTAATTTAGACTAATTCTTATGTTACAAAGTTTTTAATCAAAGGATGGACCTGATATTTAAGATTACCTATCTAGAAACACTTTAGTTAATGAAACAACTTGCTACTGTTTTGTGTCGTAGGAAGCTAACTTCCATGTAAGTCACATTGGAGCTAAAAAAAAAATTAAAAAGCGTGAAAATTTGTACAGATACATTAATTGTTTTATACTGTGGCAGGCATTTCTGCCAGAGTTCCAGTTAGGTCCTAGCCAGCTAATCCAGGAAAACATCTACCTGTAGCTGTAGGCTGGGCTGGAAAAGTCCAATTTTTTTCTGAAATATTGCAGCTTTAATATCTAGACTCCTGTGTTTGGTATTTTTTTTTATCCGAGACGAGACAACAGGCTCTGTCCCGGTTCGCAATAAATACCAGGACAATTTTCAGCCCTCCGTAGGAATTCTGGGACGATACCAAGACGAGACGAGGCTTTCCGGTTAAATAGGTACCTTAAAATTTCCCGGAATTTATGGCCATTTTAACAAGACGAATAAATTAATGATATGGTGTAAACTTTGGCTTACCATCATACATTTATACAGAGCTGGGCAACGCTACTTTGAAATGTAGTGGCCGCTACCGCTACATGCTCTAAATGTAGCGAGCGCTACTTCTACCGCTACATGCTCTAAATGTAGCGGGCACTACTTCTACCGCTACAATTGCTTAAATGTAGCGCCGCTACTGAAAATGTAGCGCGCTACTGCCCACCTCTGGTAACAACTAACATGTTGACACTAGTAAAAGGCTGAGGTTGACAACATTATACCGAAATCTTTCATACAGTTTTATTCTGTAATTTATATTATATATGTATCATGCTGGTTTTTAAATACCGTAAAATGGTGTAACTTAGACCAGCGGGGTAACTTAGACCACTTTTCGTTTTTTTTTAACAAAAACCCCCACAACTCAAAAACTATTTGACATAGAAAAATTTTGTTGATGGGCATTAAAGGCCTAATACTGAGGCTACATAAAGTTCAAAATGACATAAGAACAGGTTCTTTTGAATAACCTATGGATTGCCACCATGCGCAGTGGCGCTCACCGCTCAGCCTCTTACTCTTAGGTAGTAGAACTTTTCAACTTTGAGGCTAGAGCTAATCTTGACTGTGAATATTGATGCTCACTTCACAAAACAATGATTCAATATAGTTAAAACTATAAGCTTACTAGTACTACTCACTGCCCATTGCCCAACCTTCACTTAAAATTTTTTCAATACATAGTAAGTAAGTTATCACTTATCTCATATCTGTTTGACTGTTACTGTTAAAAACAAGCTAACAATCTACCTACATCTATTTCATAAACAATTGTAGGTACCTTAAGTCCTCAACTAATTGTGAAAAAATTTCTAGCATGAAGGTGTGAAGCTGTTTGGGTTGGTAGCTACCATATCCTTAAGCGGTTAAGCCTACTTGTTATTAGGTAAAAATCACACTCAACAACTACAAATCCTTGTTCTGGCAGACCTGCAAGTGCCAAGTGGCATCTCCTCATTCTCCTGTCCTGTGGGCTGTGAGCCTGTGTCATTGACAGTTTGACACTAGTAGGACTTGTAAGAAAAAATCTCCTATCTGCAGGTAATGCAGAAATCAGGTAGGTAATGATCTATAGTTGGGATTTTTAAAAGCTCCACAGTCCACAATGAACCTTCATGTGTAAATTTAGACTTTCTGTTTACTTGTAGTTGAGGCTAAAAAATAACAGGTAGTATACTCCAGAAGGCAGAAACCCCCATTGAAAGTTTTCCCAACATTTTATGATTTTCAGCACAGACCGTGGCCAGGGAGAGCAACAAAAGCTTGCTTTGAAAGCTGCCAAAAATTTTAGCATGTATTAAATTCCTTTCCTTGGAGGTTTCCACGTCTGACGGTCTGATGTACCTATTTAATTACTAATCAACCATAGCTTCTGTGCTCAGTCCTTACAAACGAATAGGCCTAATAATAATATGCTCAAATTTTATTCAAGTAATTCTTTTTGAATTACTCTCTATATTATCAACAAACAGCCAATGGTATCATAATTTGATTCACTAAAATTGCAATTAAAACCAGTTCTAAAACCATTTATTATGCGAGATTTGCGCACAAAAATTTGTGCGCTGCCTGTAAGTTGTAACTGTACAGACACTCAGACAGCGCGTCGCGGCGTCGGATGCGTCGCGCCTCAATTCAAAACTTAGAATGGGCGCAACAGTTTAGCATCCAAGAAGCTTTCGTATCGGTCAAGTGAAACTAACAGGGACAGGCGTATTGTCAATACTCGCTAGCAGGTTCTAAGGTTGAACTAAAACCATGGTAGGACCTAAGCACTAACGCTCAATGCAATAGAATCTTGTTCAACAATTGGAAACCTTGTTCACAAATTCTGTTTCATAAACTGTTACAAATATTCAGCGATTTGACGAGCTGCAGCCTGCAGACACAACACGACGAAATTGATTGTTTTTGATTTTTCGATTCAAAAAGTTGTGTAAACTTCTTGTCTTAACTCCACTGTCAGTAGTGTTATAAATGACACAGACTGTTCGAGGCCCGCTAATGAAGTATTCCTAGACTCTATCGTCAATGATAAGCGGACTCTTTTTAGATAACAGCATGTGTTAGAAATGATTTATGGGTTAAAAATCATTGGAGAATGACGTATTAACTACGTGGAGTAGCAGTTTTTGAGCTGAAGCTGTGTTTGTTTAAAGTTCGTGTGGTGAGATGAGTCAATTGACTACAGCTGCTTAGGTGCGAGGATAACAATATCTATAGCTTTTAGATGGTTGATGTTGGCTCAATGGCTGATTTGAGCGTTAATTTGCTGGTCTATGGCTGCGCACCCAATGATAAATATGTCGCAGCGCAGAGATTAACGAAACTTCGCTAAGTACACGTAACTTTTCGTACTTACGTTCAAAAAGTTACGTATTGCCTAAGTCAGTCAAAATTTGGCATTAACAAAACTGTCTTACGCAAGACTCATCTGAAAAGGTATTATCGAAACCATCCAACTAACCGACCAATCAGAGGCTTCGAATTTGCCATTCCTAGCTCCTGCCTCCTGTCGATTCAGTTCGCAGTGCGCGTGGATGAAAGGAGGTTTTATGTATTGTGTCAGCGTCATCTGCGTTGACTGACTAGGGAGCATATGGAGAAATGAGTGAGACATTGTCTAAATAGCAATGACAACGCCTTGATTGTAAATTTTTGCAATCAAGGCAAAAAATTACATTTTTCCCATTCAAAATTTGAGGACTTTTTAGAGAGCTACCAAAAATTTATAACATTTTGTGAGTTGGGGTTCAACTATCAGCGGAGAAAGAAAGGAATTTGTGTACGTAGCTAGAAAAATGGTTGGCTTGTCGAACTCCACTTAGTTTTGAATCAAAAAGTCATGAAGATAACATTTTAGTGAATGATCATAAAACTCTTAGATACGAATATCAAGATTTGCTTGGAATTATAGCACAAAAGGAAAAGAAATTAGCTGGCATAACTTAATTGAAATTTTTTTCTAAAAAAGCACCGTTTAGCACGATCACATATTATGCCTATGTTGAATCATTGACAAAATTCTGTCACAATTCACCGTGTTGCAAGTAAATCAATAGTTTTATATTGCTTCGGCACACTCAAAACGCCTACGTAACTCCACTTACGACACATCCGAGCAGGCGTAGAGCTACGTACGGCTTCTTGTACGTAGCTTCCCGCGCAAATGTTTTGATAATACCACCGCTAGAGTTACTTCATATCAGCACTTACGCCACACGTAAGTCGCTACGTGTACTTAGCGATGTTTTGATAACCGGCCCCTGTGGCAGATGTTTTCGGCCTTCGCCCTTCGAAGTCTGTGTGATGACCTCATTGAAGTATACGGGTATAATCATGAATTATACGAGGCTCAGAAGGATTAATAGAATTAAATTTTAATTCTATTATTATCTTTTAATTATTAAAACATCAACCAACACCAGGGGAAACGGCAATAAAGTTAAAAAAACTGCGTTTCAACATATTCTTAAATCATCTGTTTAAACCACTAATATATCATGGAACTGAGGTGAGCATTCACTTTCGGTTAGATCTGTGAAGGCCAGCCGCACGTCAAACGTTTATTTATTCGAAAACTTAAAATTCGCGTTTTCTTAGGAAGCCTCAACATTTCCGAGTCAAAATTTTGATTCACCCAGATATCTTAAAAGGCTTAAAAAACATTCAATTAAAATCTTCATCATACATCATAAAGAAACACAGGGACAAAATCATAGATATTCGATATAGTTAATATGATGCCTTCGCCTTCACATGTCAATCGAACCGTATTTGATCGTATTTTACAACTCCAGTGTAATTTTCTTCCACAGAGAACAGGTTACAAACAGTGAAAATTGGTGGGTATTGGTTTTATTAAGAAAATTTGAATTCACAGCGTTTTTCGGCAGGCGTACCTATTGTCTGTTTGGCATACATTCAAGCATCTTGGTGCATTTCTGATTTTTTTATATATTAACTTCAAATGTTCATCGGTCTAAACATGTAGGAGTTCCGTTGTGTATGTTTCTGTGATAATTTGTAAGGCGCTCTCCAATAGGAGGTATTTTATGTAGATATTGTCACGTTATGGAAGGATATAAAAATAACTACCTAAGAACAAGTACAGCCGAATCGAACCACAAATAATTTTTTTTCTAGCCCAGCTAGCGGTAGAATTATATAAATTAGACCATTTTCGCTGCAGCAAGTATAACAGACAGCCAATATATTCACGATTCCGTATCGTGTCCTTGAGAAAATAATACGTTGTTATGATAGCAGGAAACCCTTACATTTAAAAGTAGAAGATGAGAAGCGGACGTTTTATTCCATCCAATCAAAGGAATCAAGAGGTGAAGAGAGCGAATTGATATTGGCTTTATCTAGGGAAGTAAAATCAAAACAGACGGGTTAAAATTCATCATATTAATGTTTTGTGTAAATATCAGTCAAGTGAACTGTCATACTGAATAAAGTAATCTGCAATAAGCTTGTCAATTTCATGAAGATAATTCGAAACGACTTTCGACAATTCTCACGCAGTGTCCATGACGTTCCCGTCGGTAAAAAAAAACGTTTAGAAATTGCAGAAACGTTAGAACGAATTGATTCGTTTCAAATACAGGTTTCAAAACTGTCGTCAATTCAGTGACATTTAAAAGTAGTATTAAAATTTGAAAATTATTTTCCATCGAATATTCAACTGCAGCCAGATTTGAGTTAACAGCCTTAGATATAAATCAATAAGTTAAGTTCATAGGTCTAGCCGGTAAATAAAAACAAACGTGTGTCATTAATAGCTTTCTATCACGCTCCCATCTTAACGAATACTTCATCAGTAGAATATAAATAGAAAACGACATACTCCACTCATGGATCTCTACAAGAAAAGCTTGAGTGAACAAAAGAGCGTCAGATTTCCATCAAGTGGAAATACATACTTCAATACCAGACTTGGCGCTCAGCACTAATTTCACGTCACAGCTTAGAATACCAATAAATCCTGAATAATATCAACCAGGATTCAATGCACTTTCCTTAATAATCGAGGAGTTCAAACACGGCAGATAACAAATAGCATCCAAGCGTGAAACTATGCAAGATGATATAGTGCCCAGAAATTCAGCAATAAAATAACGTCACAAAGCTACAAATGATGATTGATGGAAACTCAAGGAAGTTAAAAAAGCGCAGTGTCATGCGGTGAATTCAAGGCGAAATAAATATTAAAAACAGGGAGCATGAGTTAGGTCCTATGAATGGTGGTGGGTCTCCAGGAGAAGGCTCAGCAGAAGCGTCCTTCGTCAAGTCCTCCACTGCTCGTCGAACCTCTGTAGGATACCATAATTAGAATTATTATGACTATTATTAATATACGAGTGATTAAGATTATCATTGAATCTTTTCAAAACAAAATTGATGTCTACCGTTCGCGGATGAGCAAGTTTTCATAAAATTCCATGTTTCAAACATTCATTCACGTAAAAAATGTAGAAAAATACCACGCCGGTAATCAGTTAACATAAATACAACGGTCAAAATAATAGAGAAAGAGTAACCAATCATAACAAGAGATGTGCTCGTCATGCTGCCTTTTTTCGTTAAAATCAACGAATAATCCACAGAAAGTAATTTTTTCCATACAAATTTCACTAGAGTGAGCATACAAAATACGCGAAGAAATTACACGAATCAGTTCATTAACGAATTAGGTAAATAGAATTTACAAAGGAAGAATAACATATTGTAAGTGAAGTATCTGGTTTGAATATTATACAAGCATTCAGAATAAACAAAAAGATTGAAAAGATCGGCAAACCTGAAGCCAAGAAAGCTGCAGTGTCTAGGAGCCGTAGAATGCGCTGCAGGTAGGAAAAGAAATAATTTAATCCAGCGATTGAATACAGAATTGCGAAGCAGCAGATAAAATTCATCTTTCGTCAGAAATAAGTAACAGTAGATTAGGGAAGAAAAATCCCAAATGGCATTGAGATAAAATTTACGCAGCTCTAGGGAAAATAGGTGAGTTTAAAAGATTTGAGTGAAGATTATGAAAAAAATCTGATCGAAACAGACTGTGTCACTGAAATGTTTAGGCTAATAATAATGATTCACTCACCCACACATCAAAACTAAAATTCAATGTGTAGTGGAGTCAACTGCATCTTCGACGGATCGTCCGCTTTCAAAATTCATAATCAAGTACATAAACATTAGCAGCCGGAAGCATAGACTTGAACCAGGCACTAAGAATGTTATTCATAGTTAATTTTGACTGAATGCACTTGAAACAAGTTAAGTTTCGTGCAATGATGGTATGGGTTAAAAATCATTGGAGTATGGGTTAAAAATCATCGTTCATTAAGTAGCAGTTTGTGAGCTGAAACTGTGTCGGTTTAATGTTCGTGTGGTGAGATGAGCCAATCGACTCCAGCTGCTTAGGTGCCAGGATGACAATATCTACAGTGTTAGTAGCGCAACCTGTTGCCTAGAAACAAGTCAAGTTTCGTAATGATAATGATCAAGTAGCGCAACCTGTTGCCTAGAAACAAGTCAAGTTTCGTAATGATAATGATCAAGTAGCGCAACCTGTTGCCGACGTTGCTGCGGCGCTGCGGGGTTGCGGTGCGAGGTTTGCCCAGGTAGTTGTGGCTGCCGCTGTCCACTGCCACCAGACGCTGGTTGATCATCTGCCGGTGCATGTTCATGCCCTGCAATGCAATAATACCTCAGGAATAATACAGTAAAATAATATGACATAAAATATAAGGAAACTCTGCAAGGCAAGCGAGGAAATTGTTTCAGCTGCCGGTGCATGTTCAGGCCCTGCAATGCAATCATTATTCACGAATAATACAGTAAATAATACGACGGGAAATTTAAGGCAACTATGCAACATGAATAACTAATAAGTGAATCAGGAGGAATAAAATTCATTGGCCGGGTCAGGTTCATGCTCTGCAATGCCATCATTTGTCAGGTAAATATACTCAAATAAATCTGCCGTGTAAAATTTAAGCTATTACTGCAAGACAAATTAGGTAGCAATTCAGGAGGAAAAAATTTGTCGGTTATGAAGGGAGAGAAGTGTTAAATCAAATTAAAAAGAGAATGAAAAATAGTTCTCAGAAGACAAAATGACAAAAGAATAATTTGAGTAAAGCTTATAAATAAAGCAAAACTGATCAAATTTATTGACGTAATCGCAGTTGAGTTGAAAGTATTATTAGTTATTTACTGAGACACTATAAGTTACAGATTGAGATTTAAAAATTCAATTGCATTATAAGTGAATAAAGCTTTGCACGCGTGGAGACTCACGAATAAAAGTCATAGATTGAGATTTAAAAATTCAATTGCATTATAAGCGAATAAAGCCTTGCACACGCAGACTCACGAAGTTATAGAAGGCTGAAGTGATGAGCTTCTCCTCGGCCTCACGCATCGATTTCGCCTTCTCAGACTCTCTCTGTTACGAACCAAACACAGATGAAGCTTAAGACATTTATAATCAGTTATGTTATTGTTGAGTTAATTCGCGGTTGAGTTATTGTTTAGCGAAATAAGTTTCTGGCGCAACGTTACGTCAGACTCAAAGCATCGCTTATGAGAAGACAAAAAACAAACCAAGCCGAAACGTGGAGAACGATATTTGTGTCACGAACCAAATACAGATGAAGCTTAACACATTTATAATGAGCTAACAAGCGAGGCAATTTGAAAACTTGCTGCAGGAATAACTGAAGGGATTTAAATTTGAAATTTAACAAATACGTTGACGATACGGATAATATCAATACGGGCCTCATTCGCTCGCTTCGTCCTTTAATTCATTTCATAAATTTCCATTCAAAAATGTATTTATTTCATAAATTAAATTTTAATGGAAACTTGAATCATCAAATTTTGTCACGAACCAAAAACATTTTTTTTTACTGAAAAAGACTAGAAAATGTATTTCGAAGCTCACAATAATAAAATATGACGTGAAGTAACATAAAATATTTCATACAATAATGAAAGTACAAAACACGAAACTTCCATTCTTGCTTGGTAGAATAAACGCTCTCATTGAATATTTATCGGCATAATAAAACTGCATAAAGAGTTTTTCGCACAAATCCCAACCTTCAAACACAGGATGAAGGTTAGAATTCTAACCTTACTAGACGTAACTATTTCTAAAGATTAACATCGTTTAACGATTAGATAATGACTCCATATATGTGAACACTCATAAAGTACCTGAAGATTCTCGATGTGTTTTTCCTTTTCGTAGAGCTGCTGTCTGAGCACCGACACGTCGGGCACGAAGCTTGGGTTCAGCTTCGGGTCCAAGGTCTTAATGACGCTCTTAGCTTTACTAAGATATTTCTTATAACGCTCCTCCATGGCTGCCATCTCGCCGTCTTTCTTCACTATCATCTCACGTAAAGCTGCCACCTCGTCAACTGATCACGAACGGTAAAAATAAACTTAAATTTAGTCTACGTCGATTAGACTACGACTCTACGTTAACGGAACATCGCAGTCGCGTATTGAGATGAGAGGAGGGTAAATGTACGTAATGGTACGATACATGCAGCAGAGAGGATGGGAGACAATGTAACGAGAATACAAGATAACTTGAGATAAGGTACAAACGAATCGAGGGATTACCTTAGAAATGCATTAACCATAGTGTTAGAACACAGTGTAGAAAATTCTTATCTTTCATGAGTAGATAAATGCTGTCGGAAGAATATATCAGGAGGATAATTCATTATTATATATGACACTTTACTAATTGAAAAAATGTCGAACTTCTTATCGGGAAAATTATTTAATTTTGATTAAAAAAAAACAAGTGTAGGACTGGGTTTTCATACTCACGTTTCTGCTGGAGTTTCTTCTCCAGGTCCCTCTTGGCCGCATCGTTCCATGGAGCAGGGCTAGCGGTAAGTGTGGAGGCCGTGGATGGGGTTGGAGTAGAAAAACCTCCACCAGTCGCACCACGACTTTCCTCCACTTCGCTCTCCAGCTCCATGATACGCTGGTTCAACTTTCTGATGATACCAAGCAACTGCACTTTCAATTTCTGCTCTATAATCATGCCTCAGGTCCGTTACATCATAATCATCAACAACATTGTTCAGGTTCATACATAATAGTATAACTGGGGTGGTCACAGTCTCGGCCTCTAACCAACATTTTACAACCAAGGCACTCCGTTTTCCGGACGTTTTGAACATAACTCACTTCGCTCTAGCAAAAAAAAATATATAACTCAGTACTCACTGCAGTGAGTGACAGAGAGCACATTTTTCTCGTCGACGAAAACGTGAAGTCACGGACAGACAGACAGACGGACGGACGGACATGACGAGCACAATAGCGCCTTTTTTCCATAAATGAGAAAATGCGATAAGGTAGAGTTAAGGTGCGGTTGAGTTTTTATTTAGCGAATTAAGTTTCTGGCGCAACTTTACTTCACACTCATAGCATCGCTAATGAGAACACACAAAACAAACAAAGCCGAAACGTGGAGAACAAGATTTGTGTCACCAAAACAGAATAGTTCAGTAATCGGTAATATACAGCAAAGTGGGAAATAGTATGACAACAGGCAAAAAAAAAATGCCCAGAATGACACCAGAAAAAAACTCGTTCCTGCAAAACACCAACATCGAGGTATTGAGGCAGGAGTTCCGAAAAAAATGTAGGTTAGCAACCATGAAATAATGAGTAATTCCAGATTATTTCAAACATGTAGTTTGTTCCGTAGATCAAGCGTCCCGGTTAATGCGCAGGCCAAAGGCAATGAAAATAAGACAAAATGAAGGGAGGGGAGAAGGAGCAGCGTCTGAATTAACGGAACCATAAGTCCAGTTGAAAATGCGTTATGTTTCTGAAGAGTTAGCAAGTTTTGAAGCAACATTTTTTCAAGTTTTGAAAAAATGTTGCTAACCATTTTTTTAATCAAACAATTTTTTTTAACAAAAAACAAAACAACAAAAAATTTTTTTAAGTTTTGAAAAAATGTTGCAAAACATTTTTTTAATCAAACAAATTTTTTTTTCAAAAACAAAAAACAAAACAACAAAACATTTTTTCAAGTTTTGAAGCACATGTGCACACATTCATTCAATACTTGGCAGTAGCATTCGCAAGTCGTAGAAATATAAAACTTTTCGATATGATCGATCTTAGAACTTTTTTCTTTGTTGTAATGTTGTTACTCCGATTCCTCAAAGAAAAGCTCGACATTAAATTTACAAAAAATATATGAGCACGCACAGGAATAGAAAATACTATTTAAACAAGACATGATTGCTAATAACTTGATAAAAGTATTAACTTGACGTAACTATTTCTAAAGATTAACATCGTTAAACTGATTAGATAATGACTGTATGAACAAGTATATTCATCAGAACAAACGAACGTTTGTGAAGATCAAAGAAACGATCGATTGAACAAAGGTCAGGCGCGAGTAGAAAACGTGTGAAGTGTGTAAATTCGTCTTCCATTGTTGCTCTAAGAAAAAAAAATTAAAATTAGCTTGAAGTTAATTAAACAACAGAAAATATTTGACATGCGTTAAAGGTTTGAACATGCAGCCACATTTATTTGAATTAGGTGTTCCCAAACTCGCGTGATACGTGAACACGGCTATGAACATTCCAAATTTAGGCATATTTTTTCATCAATAAATTTATATCACATGTTTGCTTAAATCGCAAATTAACTAAGAATTTAAAAGCAAAGAAAAGTCCACAAAAATTCATATCTTTATAGAAAACGTTTTCTATAAAGATATGAATTTTTGTGGACTTTTCTTTGCTTTTAAATTCTTTTTCATCAATATATTTACTACCTAAAATAAGATAATTTTGGAACGAGTTGCAGCTTCAAACACCAAACTCCAGTGGTCCATCGTTAAATATAAACCGTTGACTTACTAATTGCGCCAATTATTAGCAGATTGCGTAAAAAAAGGCTAAATATTAACGGAAAATGTGTACTATTAGTGGTAAGCGGCAGGTCTCAAGTGCAATACAGTGACTGTACAAAACCATTAGTGATACTCGATCACAAAAAGTTTGGGAAACCCTGATCTAAATAATGAAAAGCATTAGTGAGATGTTAACACGTTTAATAGCTTGTCCTGACACCGAACCACACAGTATGCCCCAATATACCTGAGAATTAGCAGCAGTACGAGTCGGACAGAAATAACTAATTTCATGACAATCGAAAAACCTGATAAAATCAACGTTGAAATTTCAATAATTCCACATAAATGATAAATACAACAACTATATTGTCTGATCATGAAGCAATATTTTCGTACGTCAGCCAAAACAGAAGAAGAATAAAGCGTAGCAAAGATACGAAGCGTGAACACCAAGCCACCGAAAATTAAAGCTCCAATAAACATGCACCGATCCCGCCCAAGCAAAACACAAGAAAATTATAACGAATTTCTCTGATGACTTGATAGTTTCGAGGTAAATGAAAGTCTTTTTATGATTTTTCACTGTATTCTGGTAAGGCCACACTAGAGTTTAAATAAAACCCTTATAAAACTGTATCGAGGCGGTTATTACAAATAAACACAAAAATACGCTATAAATGGCTGGGATGGACATACAGATATGAGGGATATTTCTAGCCACAGCTATTTGCATGCCATCTGAAATAAGACGAGCGACAACGCATGGTCGCATTTTGCTTTATCTGTTATACCTTACTAAACTTGGAGAGTAATTCTCATAATATAACATAAAAAGCCCCACTATCTCAGAAATTTAGGATAACATATCAGGCTCATGTGGTAGGATTTTTAATAAAAGAAAACGTAAAGTCTGGCGAGATCAGAGTTTTCGTTTCGGTAACAGTGCTTTGTTTATGTATAATCAACAGTTTCTGGCTTTTGACATGTGGTTTTAATTGTGATGTATGAACTATCTGAAGGAGGAGTGGGTCTTAAGAATTAAATACAGCGCACGAGTTTGTTCTGGGCAAAGATTTACAAGGTTTAAATATGTAGCTGACATCGTCGTGGATAAAATGTCGCTGATTCATACGTCAAAGAACTTAAACTAAACTAGATGATGAGAAACAAAGTATAATACCTACTTTGACATTAAAAGTACGATATGTTTCGAAAATTTGAAAGAAATCCGGCATTTACAGCGTAAAAGATAAAAAAAGTTTTGTCATAACTTAAAACACATTGAGGCCTCAATTTGACGTAAGAATTTGAATGCTACTCGTACAATCCTTCAGGGCGAAGGGAAGCGAGTGCTATATCAACCACCAAAAACAAATATTTTACGGTGAACTGTTTTTTATAGTTAATAGTTTGGCCACTGAGTTTTACAAATGAGCTTCATAAAATTATTCATTAAATGATGGTCCCGAACCGTTACAAACAGGGATGAAAACATAACAAAATACAAACAAGTAAGGAACGATCTACAGGAAACACATCTGACATCGGTCACAACTACGATGTTTCATGTCAAATTACTACATAAAAATTAATTTGAAAGTCCAAATCAGAGAAAAAATTACATGTAATTTTATACGATGGTTACGATTGACAGTGAATTCCGAAAACGGCCTAGGCTATACAGAGCAAACAATAATACAGAGAATATAGAAAATGTCCTTGGTGTTGCTTGGGCAGGCGGTGAAAAATACAAGCACTTAATACAAAAAACTACACAGCGGTACAGAGATAAATTTTAGGCTACATTATGTGTACACAATTATATACCTCCCTCCCATTAGACTTGCTTTCATTTCTTTCATACACGGTATCGTGTAAAATCGCTGACTCGGGTTCGTGCACAGCTTCAAAAACGTCCGCACACAAACCTCCGTCAGAATAATTAAATACTATGAGTGTTTTAAGTTCATGAAACTAAGTCTAATAGAAGATGGTGATTCAAGAACTTGAAACAGGTTATGATTGATAGTGGATTTCCCGACTGGATATAATCGTGGATTCCAAGATCATCTCGATCGTAGTCGCCGGCTTCACGGTTGCGATGTCAGAGTGAACGCGTCTAATAGAAAGGCTTCATAACAATGACACTATGCCAGGTATTATCAACTTCCAATTGCACTCACTCTCTCGCGATGAAGGTTAAGATAAATTTTTTTGCGTTAAACATCCGCAGAGAAAAAGTCGCAAAATTTTCGTGCAAATATCGATCGAACAACACTATTGGTGTCGTGCGCTCTGAGATCGCAATTGTGAAGCGGCGAACACAAGCATGAATTTCAACCGTAGCAAGGACAAACATAGAAATCACGTGCAGATAAATGCATCGCTGATATTAAACTGAGTAAGCAGTGTAGTGCGCTGCAATTATGCTGGGCGTCTTAAAATTTAAAAAGATGATTCCAGAGAAGAATGAAAATTGTAATTAGACCCTTTAAGACAAATTAAGCCAAAAATTAAAGATTCAAGTGGATGACTAAGTATGCAAAGACATCGAATGCCAGTGAGAAGAAGGCTCTACCGTGTGAATGGACTCAGCAACAAGCAATATAAACTAATGGTATACCCTGGGAACTTGATATAAATCAAAAAACGGATTTCGAGACAAGATTTTCTGAGATTTTTTTCAACACGATTACAAACTTTTAACCCGAAACAGTCATTTAAAACTTGCCGAATCTCTGATAATCAAGCCAAAAATTTTTTTGCCAGAAAAATTCCCTAAAAAATGTTGTACCGAAATTTAATATCACGACATGCGAGGTGTGCAAAAAACCCTAAGCCACAGAAGAATAGCGCAACGATGTCCCCATAACAGTGCAAGGTGCAGGTAATGAATGCAAGTTCAATGCTTGCCATTTGTTCTGGCGTTAATCTCTATAGAAAATAATAGTTTTGCCCCAAGCAGTGCAGTGTAGCTTGTAGCTCGATCAACTTCATATCTGGCGTTAATCTCTATAGAAAATAATAGTTTTGCCCCAAGCAGTGCAGTGCAGCTTGTAGCTCGGTCAACTTCATATCTGGTGTTAATCTCTATAGAAAATAATAGTTTTGCCCCAAGCAGTGCAATGCAGCTCGATCAACTTCATAACTTGAGGCAAAAATGCGTACCAACACGTCTACACGATAAAATAGCGCGTCAAGGCACAAACGAGGGAGAGGAAAGTCGAGAGTATAGCAAATGAGTGCAGTGCGTGTGATAGTACGGCCGAAAAGATAAGTCTGCGACATCCTAGTGACAGGATAAGCAAAACATGAACAGAAGCATCACCAAAAACAATGAAGTAACGCCTACCAGAACGTTAAAGTACAATAGCTACGCCAGTATCAAATAATGATGCTGTTGTAGTGTCAACAACAGCATGAAGCTGAAATGATGAAGAGGGATCTTCATCATATAAGAATAGGGAGCATCAGTTAGGCCCTTTGAATGGTGGTAGGTCTTTGAATGGTGGTAGGTCTTTGAATGGTGGTAGGTCTTTGAATGGTGGTAGGTCTTTGAATGGTGGTAGGTCTTTGAATGGTGATGGTCTCCGAATCTTCCTTGAAGATTCGAAGACAGGAAATGTAAACCGTAAGACGTTAATTATAATTCAGAGTTCCTGATCATCAACGGGAAAGCAAAGCAATTATTCTTTGAGGAGAAGATTTCACATTACGATACTCGATCGAAGGATACACGAAAGACCCAAGAGCCAGGATTAGTTACAAGACGAATAGACTGAGTTTTCTGCACCAGGGGCCGTACTTTCAAAACTGGCTAAGTGAACGTAACTACTTACGCTATATTTTCTTGTCTATGATTGGTGGATTTGGCTTGAAAGGCTGTCAATGATTGGCTGATGAACTTACGATCTCTTAACTTTTTTTTAAAGTATAGGTCCAGAAGACTATATGCTTTACGCCGTCCAGTACAATAAGTAACAATTATTAGCTGCACACACTTTCCATTCAGGAGGGGATATGCCAAACAAGGCCCACATCAGTACCGTCAACTGTGCTACATCCGTTACCGTTTTATGAATGGTTAAAACTTCTGCACTTGAAGTGCTTGAAATAAAATTGTGTTGGAAATTGTGATGTATGTGATAGACAAGGACGATTCCTTCATCCATTTGCAACACTAGAATTATTGGCACACAAGAATACTACAGAAAACTAAACTACTACACACAGGTAAGCATTCTATGGCAACTAAACATCTATGATACAAAAAGCTAAGCCACGACGGTAATTTAAATTATTTAATAAAAAAGCTCCCGTAATATGACAGAAATAGCTGGGAAAAATATCGCTGCGGTTCCTATGAGTCCCGGTTTAAATGGCTGACGTAAATTCGATTACCTTTTCTATTCGAGGACAGGTTTCTGATCATCTTAGAGCTATTGCACATTCGAATATGACTAGCGGGAGGAGGAGGGGGGCATAGCGATCCGAATTGCTTGCTATATTTATTTTTATTTATTTAATAAGAATGGTCAGTGCGGTTGAATAAAATAAAATGTAGAGTGAAAACAGAGGAATAGATTATCATCGGAGTTTAAGCTAAAAGAAATGAGAAATGAATAAAAAATGAGAAAATAGTAAACAAATAGGGAAGAGTCAAGAAATAGAGAGAGGAGAAATGTAAGCGCGTGAGGTTCAGTGTTTTCTCATTGAGTCGGTGGATTTGAAGCCCTAATACAGGCGATGGATAGGAGAAATTTAGTGACTAGCAGGACCACTGATTAGGACAAGACAGCCATGCAGACAATGGCTGTACGCTTGCGTAACAGACATGAGGGCAGCAGATATGGGTGTCTCTTAGGGGGTACAGAAAAGAAACATGGCAGTGAAGGTTTCCGTGGCAATACTTTTGACTGTTCTGTTTTTTCGCTTCTTTTTAAATCGCAACGATGCTTTGAATGACCGGTCTTGCTCTCTGATCCTATGAGTAGTAATCGATGAGAACACTGCCGTCTGAGTTTTAGGTGCCTTATCGACAATGATGTCTTCTTCTTGTATTTTCGAGAGGCTGTTACGTAAGTGTGGCGACACAAACTTAGACAATGACAACGGGCTATACTTAGACAATGACAATGGGCTATTCTGGTGACGATTCGAGGCTTTATAAAGCTCAATCTGCTTCATTTCTTCTTGCGTTACGAACCGATCATAGACATCATTATTGTGGTCTGTGTTATACTCGGCCAGGTCCGTGTCGTTTGCGTCATCGTAGCTCACTGAAGTATACGACTCGGAACTGACGAGTGGAGCCCCGAAGGCGCCGGACACCAGGCGTTGCTCGAGCGTATCTTCGTCAGAATCTGACTCTATAAAAGCCAAGGCGATCTGCTGGTTCTGATGAGGCGGCGATAAGGAATCTATTAGCTTTGGGCTGGAGAGTTCAAGGTGAGTGAAGAGGGTTCCGGAGGAGCATTGAGTGATATCGCTGGGTTTTTTAAGCAGCGGCGTAGATTTGGTAATTCTCAGTGAGGCTGAACGCCTGAAACCTGAATGCTGCTGTTCTTCTTTACCAGGAGGATGAGGAGTTCTAGGGCGCGTCAGCAATGAGTCCACAACAACAGCAGGCTCCTTGAAGCTCACATGATTGCCGTTCCTATTGGGAGATTTGCTTATCGGGCGCACCACGGTCACAGGTTCAGCATCTTGACTTAGGTTGTGCATACCGAAATGTGTCTCTAAATTGAACGAGCCTCTCGAAGGTAAGGGGGAATTACCAGCCTTTGATTTGACCGAGCAAGAATCTACAACGATGAAATTGCTCTCTATGCTAAGCGAAGAGGGATAAACTTCTCCTAAAGGCTTGTTTGTTGTCAAAGAATATTTGGGAGTTGAAGGATTTGATTTCATCGGCTGGACCTCCCGTACGAAACCTTCAACTGGAGAGTTTGTGAGGGACATAGAGGCGGGTTGGGCCCGAGAATTGGCGGTGGGATGGCGGATGGCGGAAGCAACACCTCTAACAACCGACACGGGCTTGCCGTCTTTCTTGCAAATTCCGTTGAGCCCTGAAGAAACTTCTAAGCCATTGAAGCTTAAACAAACTTTCATCTCTGACGTCTCATCAAACGCAATGTCTTCTGCAGATATGCTCGATTTGTTCTTAATAAGCGTGCTGGTCTTGATGGGATCCATTTTGAAGTCTCGAGCGTTAAATTCGGTTTTCTTTTGTTCGTCTTCGTTAGAGAAATGGTGGCCATTGGCATATGAACGAATCTGATGGTTCCTCAAGGAATCGTTCGACGAAAAACTAGCACCAGAGGTTCTGTCCGAAGACCTAGCTCTTCCTTGAAAACTCTCAGACTGAGACCTACGAAATTTAGGAAGTATTTGTTCTTCATCGGAGAGGCTACTGTAACTGCTGGGACTTGGGGAAAGTGAGGAACGAGATGACCGGTTTCTTGTAACTCGAATGGGGATGCGAGGCGAGTTATGGGGAGTTGGGGAGTCAGAGGGAAGTAAAGGTCGGAGACTAGGGTGTCTAGTAGACGAAGAATTCACGCAATCATTAGGCAAGCTCCTGGTTCTAATTTCAAATGAAGTAGACTGCGTCTGATTACTGTTGTCGCCCCCACAGTGATGAGACGCAACGGAAGGTGAACGGCAGCAGTGTGGACAGTGGCAGAGATGATGATGCAAATGTGTGTAAGATGACCCAGAGACATTCGACGCGGACCGACCCGACGCATAGGGAAGGATGATGTCAGAAAGCCTATGTGAAGAACAGTCCTCGGCGATGGCAGGGACGATGGGACTCATGCAGTCAAAAAGACCCGATACCCCCGAGTCCATGGTGGCCGGTCCGTCTTCGCAACTGCTCGGGGAGGTACGACAACATCCACTGTCTTCTGTACTGCCTACTCCTGCACACGACGGCACTTTGAACTCGTGGATGTGGCGGATGACGAGGTGTTGCGTGCCATCGCTGCACGGACGAGGCGGTTGCATGTCCGTGATCTCACGCAAGCCGTTTGGCGGCGACTTCGAGACGCCCGTGGGTTTAGAATGCACGTAAGGGCGAGCAGAGGAAGAAGAAAAGGAGGTAAGAAAGCTAGAAAACAGAGATGGTGTCCTGAGAATGAGCAAATCGGAATCACTAGCCCACTTAATATTTCTCTTTAACAGCTTAATCTTCTTGAAATCCTCTAAGTTAATGAAGGCGTCTATGAAAGCCATAGGGGATGATGGTGATGAGCCGATGAGTGAGGGAGGTGGGGAGACGACTCGTGTCGGAGTTGGGGTGCTAATCATCGAGTGAGGGGAAGAAGGGGAAGCGGTGACCCTCTTGAGGTGGGCACCCCACCTGTTCTCAGACGAGACGCTGTCATGTCGCTCCTGCAGCTCAGCAAGCATCGCCTGCAGTACAGGGGCGCTGCTCGAGGCTCCAGCACCGCTCGCTGAACCTCCTTCAGCCTCGCGCTTCTTCAGCTGCTCGTTCTCGTGACGCAGACGCACCAGGCGCTCCCTGCCATCAGACGCATCAATTAGGAGTGTGCATCAATTAGGAGTGTGCATCAATTAGGAGTGTGCATCAATTAGGAGTGTGCATCAATTAGGAGTGTGCAGTGTGCATCAATTAGGAGTGTGCATCAATTAGGAGTGTGCATCAATTAGGAGTATGCATCAATTAGGAGTGTGCATCAATTAGAAGTGTGCATCAATTAGGAGTGTGCATCAATTAGAAGTGCACATCAATTAGGAGTGCGTATCAATTAGCAGTGCGCATAATAACGTATATAAAAAAGCAATAATACGCATTATTTATAAATCATTTAAAAATTACTTCTAGTGTAGGCAAGACTCAGAAGAATTACAAAAATAAAGAGTTCATTACAACAATTCGTGAAACAATTATTTGTAGCTAAGACAAAACCTACAGGGAAATATTCGAAACAATCACTAGAATACACGGAGTGTATATCAGGTCACTGTTGAACGATAGCACAAAAACCCTAGCAGTAAGTGGAGTTATGTCAGGAAACTGTTATTATATATTTTGTCTATTACCAAACTGGTAATAAATAAAAATTAAGATATTGAAGATATGAAGATAGACATTAAGGAATATAAAAAAATGAATTTGAAGCCCGAACCGTGCAGGCAGATGAACTAACACATTGAAAACATAAAGAAATACATTATATTAAAATAATATAATGTTATTTTAATAATAATATAATAATAATATAATATTAAATATTATTAATATTAATATTAAATATTATTTAATGATATTAAATATCAGGCTTTAATATAATATTAAAGCCTGAGCCATGCAGGCAGATGAGCTGACCAGAGTTCCTGTGGATCAGAGCTGAGCAGGTCAGCGCTAGGGCCGCTGCTGCGGTGACTGGGAGACTGCGCTGAGTTGAGGCAGCGCAGTTCCTCCACGTGCTCCTTCAGCTCATCACGCTCCTGCACCACGCGCTGAAATGCAGCGAGACGAGGGGTAAGTTATACTAGTCATATAGTAGACTGGTCACTAGTCATATAGGAAACTAAGTCATATAGTAAACTAGTTAGAAAACTATAGTCATTTTGTAATTTTAAAATACGAGTCGCATCAGTCATATAGTAAACTAAGTCATATAGGTAGTAAATTAGTTAAAAAAAATAATATAGTAATAGTAATTAGTAAGTAATAGTAAGTAATAGTAAGTAAATAGTAATAGTAATTAATAATATAGTAATTAGTTAGAAAACTATAGACATATAGTAATTTTATTATATGAGTCGTACCAGTCATATTGCAATTTTAACATTCACTGGATAGATTGGCAGACTTTAATATTTATTGAAATTAAATAAGTATCCTTTGCAAACATCATAGCCCCCCGTCATCCTTCCGGAAAACTTCGTACTATGTCACATCACAGAACTAAAAAAAACACATATTTTATATTGTTAAACCTACCCGAATGAATATATTTGACCGTCAGTGTAACCGCAAGCAACGACTACCTACCATTAAATCCATATAATAATTCAAATATACAAATTCAATACCGTCAACGTCACAATTTCCCGATACTTCCAGACACCTTTTTCCGTGATGCTCTTCACCTGTGAGTGTTTCGAGTGTCTTACTACCACGAGCATCAACTAGCATCACATTATGACCAACTAGCATCACACTGATTAAATGTATCTAATCTAATGAATGATTAAATGTATCTAATCTAATGAATGATTAAATGTATCTAATCTATTGAATGATTAAATGTATCTAATCTATTGAATGATTAAATGTATCTAATCTATTGAATGATTAAATGTATCTAATCTAATGAATTATTAAATGTATCTATCAAATGTATCTGTATCAAAATATACCAAATTTCATCACATATTATCTCTATTTCTCCAGCAACTCACGTCCTTCTCGACAGTGAGGGCTTCCAGTTTCTCGTTGAGCTTCTTGGAGTCGAAGGCGTGGCGGTCGGCCTTCTTGGTCTCTTCATGGAGCTGCTGGCGGAGCTCGGACACTTGTTTCTTGAAGAGCTCCAACTGCGGCCGCCACGTGTCGTTCTTCTTCACATCCTGGTAGCAACATGAAAGTAATTAGGCTGTTGCACGCGTAGCTAAAGGGTGAGTGTTGTTTCCAACACGCGAGTGATTAGGGCTGCAGTACGCGTAGCTAAAGGGTGAGTGTTGTACTGCCTTGACACGTGCGAGTAATTAGGGCTGCAGTACGCGTAGCTAAAGAGTGAGTGTTGTACTGCCTTGACACACGCGAGTAATTAGGGCTGCTGTCTTTCTTCAGTTCTATTGCGCTACATGCAGCACCCAACTCACCTCCTCCAGCTCGAGGATGTGCTGCATGCAGACTCACCTCCTCCAAGCTCGAGGATGTGCTGCATGCAGACTCACCTCCTCCAGCTCGAGGATGTGCTGCATGCAGACTAGTGTAAATCGGGAGTGTTGGAGGTGTAAATCGGGAGTATTGGACGTGTAAATCGGGAGTGTTGGACGTGTAAATCGGGAGTGTTGGAGGTGTAAACCGGGAGTGTTGGAGGCATAAATCGAGAGTGTTGGAGGTGTAAATCAGGGGTTTTAGAGGCATAAATCGAGAGTGTTGGAGGTGTATACAGAGTGTTAGAGGTGTAAATAAGGAATGTTGGAGGTGTAAATAGGGAGTGTTGGAGGTGTAAATCGGGGGTTTTAGAGGCATAAATAGGAGTGTTGGGGTGTAAATACGGAGTGTTACAGGTGTAAATTGGTGGTGTTATAGACGTAAATCGTTTGTTTTAGAGGTACGAATCTGGGGAATTGCTCACCTCGCGGCATCCACCACACGACACTCACCCCCCACAACGCATCACACACCACCCACCTCGTCCTGCAGAGCGTGTGCCTGGTCTGCCAGTCTCTGCAGCTCCTCCGTCCTGGCCATCACCTCGCCGCGTTCACGGTCAAGCTCGTCAACACGACTACGATACTCGTCACGAGCTGCAACCCAGACATACGGGAACAATTAATTATATGCTTAAAAAGTTCTAAAGAATGTTGTGCTATATAACAGTCACTAACGGCAACCCATACATACGAGTGCAATTAATTATATGCTTAAAAAAATCTGAAGAATGTTCAGCTATATAACAGTTACAAAGGGGATCAAACTGCAAAAGTGGTCCAACTTTGTGGAAGTAATTTATGTTTCCATCAAAGTTGAAAAGATATCGACAACATTAGGAGTTTCTATAGATGTGGCCAATCAACAACATCATAAGAAACGACAATAAGTATGCTATAAGGTTGTACATATAAAAATAATAACTGCATCAAGGTACAAGTGCTCACATGTCTCCATCTTGAAGAGGTCGTCCTGCAAGGAGTCTATCTTCTTCTTGAGCTCCTTGTATCTTGACATAGTTCCTCCCTCAGCGCCCTCGCTCTCCAGCCCTCCTAGCCGCTCCAGCAGACGAGCGTTCTCGTCTGCCAGCTCCTGGCGCTTCTCCGCCGCGTCCGCCAACTGCCGGGGATAAAAACCAAACAAGTTTATAATTAACAAATTTTAAAAAGTAAGTTAAGATTTTATGTCGCTGAAACGTTTTATAATCGCAATCGCGCGAAAAGAGAAATGTGGTCGTATTTCTCGAAATAAATTCTAAGGTACGATATTTTTTGAGGTGCATTTATTCTACCGGTACATCTGAAGGTAATCGCAACACAAGTAATCTGCTCTCCAAGGTACCTCCATCTGATGGATGTACTGGCGTCGACATATAGAAGTACCATAATCCCCAGGTCAACACTCTCCCGAGGTCCCCACTCTACCGGAGGTCCCCACTCCCCTGAGGTCCTCACTCTCCCCAGGTCCCCACTCTCCCGGAGGTCCCCACTCTACCGGAGGTGCCCACTCCCCCGAGGTCCCGACTCTCCCGAGGTCCCCACTCTCCCGAGGTCCCCACTCTCCCCAGGTCCCCACTCTCCCCAGGTCCCCACTCTCCCCAGGTCCCCACTCTCCCGAGGTCCCTGCGAGGTACCTGCATCTCGGCACGAAGTACTTGCACTCCCCAACCCACGAGGTCCCCACTCTCCCGAGGTCCCCAGTCTCCCCAGGTCCCCGCGAAGTACCTGCATCTCGAGCTCCATGACGCGGGCGACGGCCTGGTCACGGGCGCGGGTGGTGGCCTCGAGCTGCGGGAGGACGGACCGCGCGCTGGGATGGAAGCTCGCTGGTCCCGCCACGTCCGCGCCCGGCGACGTGTCGCGCATGAACACAGACTGCACCGTCGTCATGACGACCGCCTGCACCTCAGCCGCCATCGACATGATCGTCTCGATGTGGCCTGCGTGAGGGGCGGGAGATGCATAAGAGGCGTGAGGGGAATGAGGGGCATAAGAGGCATGAGAGGCATAAGGGCATGAGAGGCATAAGAGGCATAAGAGGCATGAGAAGCGTGAGGGGAATGAGGGACATAAGAGGCATGAGAGGCATGAGAGGCATAAGAGACATGAGGGGCATGAGAGGCATGAGGTGCACCATAACACCAGAAGCGGGATGATGACCAACGTACGGGGCTCGTAAATACATACCGTATATTCGTTTTACTCATTAAAATATCAGTGTTAATAGTTAATAATAGTATGACATTTTATCAATCCTACACGATGAATACTGGTACTTAAGACCAGGCATAACTTTTGATATACTCCGATAATTTGGCAAATGGACTTTCACAAATAAATCCGTTTTAATTAAAAATTAAAAAAACGCACTAGAAAGAATATTTTGATGATCAAAATATACGAGTTCCATCGCACATGCCCCCTACAGTTCATATCCTCTCGAAGTTGCAAAACCATATGTATGTCTGCTCATGTTCACCTAATTTTTATTTATGTTCATTTGCCAATTTATATTTTAATTCCTTCACTATGAATTTTTGTTTGCTAATTGTTTGTTCTTGTGTTTTAGCTTTTTTAAATGACGATAGAGCTGGACTGCGAAACGTTTTCTCTCACAAGAAATACTGAATTTTTTGGCCGTTTTCTTTGCCTTTTGGATTCTAGATAAACTTGCGATTTAAGCAATCAAGGGATCTTAATTCTTATAAGTATATGTAATAAAAAAAATATAACTCAGAAGTTACAGCAGTGAGTATCAGTGCGCATTTTCTTGTCGACGAGCACGAGAAGTCGCGCACGTACGGACGGACAGACAGACAGACGGACGGACGGATATGACGAGCACAATGCGGCATTTTTTCCATAAATTAAAAAATGCGCTTTAAATATACAAAATACTATAAATTATGCAGGACTCACGCTCCTTCTGGTGGCAGTTGATGGCGCATCCCAGGACGAGCTGCAGGAGACGGGCCACTTCCTGGGGGTCAGCGGTCTCTCCTGCAACACAGAGTGCATTCCTCAATGACCATAGCATTATTAAGGTTGCAATATGTTTCTTGTTATTTTAAAGCATGCTTTAAATGCACGCCTTTTGTTGTTTGAAATTATAATGAAAATTCTTACCGTTTGTAATTACAATTATACTGTAAACGAAAGAATTACCAGCACAACACATTCCTATTCGGTCTCTCCTGCAACACCGAGTGTATTCCTTAATTAATGACAATAGCATTCTTCAGGCTATAATGTGCGTCTTGTTAGTTAAAATTATACTTTAAATGCAGGCTTTTTTTGTTTGAAATTATAATGAAAATTCTTACCGTTTGTAATTACAATTATACTGTAAACGAAAGAATTACCAGCACAACACATTCCTATTCGGTCTCTCCTGCAACACCGAGCGCATTCCTTCTTGACAATAGAATTATTTAGGCTACTATATATGCGTCTTGCTATTTAAAATTATACTTTAAATTCAGGCATTCTTTATTTAAAATTATACTATAAACGATGGAATTACCATCACAAGATATTCCTACCCGGTCTCTCCCGCAACACCGAGCGCATTCCTTACCAACCGTCGCATTATTCAGGCAATTAACAATGAGCATTCTGTCATTTCAAATGATGAGGTAACACTGAAAATGAAGGCACAAAACATTAGTTCCCCTTCTGTTATAGAATTAATATACAACAACATTTATTATCTTAAATCTGTATATACGTGACACTTTACGTGTTTATCTTGAGTTTCTCTAATAAAAATAGTTATCATTTTGATCTAAAATACGTATAAATGCAATACAAAGAGACGGGCCATGAATATAAAGCTCTTAAATAAAATGATCGTGGCATATCATGATAATTATTAAATTTAACTTGGTGATCATGTTCATTGTTCGATTAAAATAAAATACTATGATCGGGATTTGGTATTTGAAGAATCGAAATTGCGGATATTAAACGAAACAAATTTTCAGCTTCGTAAACTCATTTATTGATACTGCCTTAAATAGCTACTGTACTTAATTTGAATGGATTGATGAAAACGGAAACCAACATAAAAACAAAATGTAACAACAGAAACATAGAAACCAGAGTGCAACATCAGCTTGAAAAACCAAGCCGAATTACTGTTAAAGCAAATTTTTTCAAAGAACTGGGATCACAGCTAGGGGAAACGGTGCAGCGATGTGGTCAAGCCTGTTTTAGTTAAAAGATTAAGTAACGGCGAAAAATGTAAGTAAGGAGTTGCAGAGCAACGGGATATACGCCTGGGACGAGTTACGGGTATAAACTTGGGAAAATCGAGTACAAAAGTACGAAAGAGGAGCGGAATGCACGAAATAGGGGGAGGGAATAGAGGGAGGTAATAGGGGGAGGGAATAGAGGGAGGTAATAGGGGGAGGGAATAGGGGAAGATAATAGGGGGAGGTTATAGGGGGAGGTGAAAGTGGGAGGAAATAGGGGGAGAGAATAGCGGGAGGTGATAGGGGAGAGGGAATAGCGGTAAGTATAATGAGGAAGGAATAGGGGAAGAAAATAGCGGGATGTAATAGGGGGAGAGAACAGAGAGAGGTAATAGGGGGAGGAGATGGCAAGCATGTGGAGGGAGGAGGTCTTGGCATTTAGCATGAGCGGTTGGCCTCCAGCGAGAGTAGCCATGATGTCACCTCACCGGGCGCGAGCCAGTGTGAAAATCATCGCAGTGTTATCGTCGGCCATTCTAATATTCATTTTTTATTATTCATAACGGCTCATCCACAACGAAATTCGCATGCGCACATGCATCTTTTTCGTCCCACCAGCAAGTTTGACTCTAGCATTGATCTAACATAAATCCAAGCTTGAACGGTGCATAATTTGCACTGTTGCTCGGGATCCCAAGCTTCGAGGACTACATTCGTGTCGAAAAAATCTGATCACAAAATGCATCTTACCGACACATGGCGCCCAAATTGCAGCCAACAAAGTGGAAATGAAGCTTCAGATATTCACGCCGATGATCGCCTTGAATGTGTTATATGATGCAGTAGCATTATCATAGCATCATCAATACTGGTTTTCGGTGGGTATAAGCGACAGCACCTAGCTTACACTAGCAGATACGAACCTAGTTCCCTCGCTAGGCTTCAAGCAGGTAGGTGCCTAGCGCGAAGACCATGTTTCTATCAATACAGTAATGCAGCTGCCTATACACTAAGAAAAATAATTGGGTCATGTTGTCAATTAATGACACACTTTCCGTGTGTGGCTTGATTGCAAACTGAGTCACAGTGACCATACAAGCTAAAAAGTACATCGCTATTTGGACAACGTCTCGCTTATTTCTCTGAATGTAGAAAGCATTATGTAGTACAACCATCTGATCCTAGTATCCTAGTGTGGGGATATTGGTATGAACCCTCTGACCCTTCAGTACAGATAATGAATGAACTAATAGCAACGTTGCTACGGATCTACCGAGACTGCTTTTGAGAAGTTTGTATGATCGAACCTTCCAACTCTGGTGTAGGGATGTTGGTATGAACCTTCCAACTCTGGTGTAGGGATGTTGGTATGAACCTTCCAACTCTGGTGTAGGGATGTAGGTATGAGCCTTCCAACTCTGGTGTAGGGAAGTTGGTATGAACCTTCCAACTCTGGTGTAGGGATGTAGGTATGAGCCTTCCAACTCTGGTGTAGGGATGTTGGTATGAACCTTCCAACTCTGGTGCAGGGATGTAGGTATGAGCCCAACCTTGACCCAGCGCTGCATGCTCGCTCCTCCGTTCACCCAGTAGTGCACTCGTCAAAGTTCCGCGAAAATGAATACTTAATATTGGTTCTTTATACACTCTTTAAAATTCACAGTGTTCGTCACAATAATAAAGTAGAAGAATTTCGAAAGGACCAAATTGGAGTTCGTGGCCATTTTTAGCTTACAAATTGATTCAAATGATACAGTAAAAAATTTTTTAAACATCACATAACCTTGCAATAACTGCATTTAATTAAGGCAATTTTTCGTTATAATTGTTATCTGGTGCGTACGACATAACATGGACATTGGACACGCTTATCGTAGAGCGTACCTATCCAAGATGAGCATCCATGTAACTCTCGCTTCTCAAGAATAACAGATAGATCGCTACACTCCGATACGGTAGCTCCTATTACGGACACACTACCGCGCGAAACAAGTAACGATCCATTCAGAGAATGCAATCTGGCCGCAGACACGACCTTCGAGCATTAATATATATGCTGTAGACACAGTGGCGACCTTTCATTATCTGCAAATAAATGGCGAACACAGCAGCGTTTTTCTACTCACGAACTGCTAACATTGAGGCTTCCTGTCATCCATTGACTTCAAACAAGCTACCAGGACCGTCGCAATGAGCCAAAAGATATACGGTATCTGCATACCATGCACAACACAGAGCTCAGCAGTACTTAGGACCCAGCAGTTTTCTGTGATCAGCAATACCAAGCACTCAAAAGTTCCAAGAAATCAGTAGTTCTGAGCACCAAGCAAGGCCCTGGACCCACATGTACCCAGCGTCCAGCAAAGCCCAGCACTTTCATCACCTCTTGCAGAGGTTGCACCACCATCTCTCCGCATCCTCGGCGCCGAACAAGGCACACTTCATTAACCTCAGTAACCTGGAGTGTGTCTAGGCAGAGTGGGATACCAAGGGGCCGTTATTACTGCAACTGGAAAATTTACCCCCAGATTGTGTAGTGCCACGTGAATCTGGACTAACTGTGGTTAATGGGGTCTGAGAGATTCTGACCAAATCTAGTCATTTGGCATTGTAGCATATGATTATTAGACCCAAGGTAAACTTCGTAATATTAGGTTTTGCTATTCGAAATATGAGGTTTTGCTCATCAACATAAGCATCGTTCTCCTCTTTATTGAGCGGTTCGGGACAACAAATTATATAAAACAAACCCACGTGTGTTGTATCATGTTCTTAATTTGAAAGTCGTTTCTCTTTTCAATAGCACTTCTAAAATGCTCGTCTCCATATCGATGTCTGCTTTAAAAAACTAAAATGCTACGAAGGGATATAGAAGTAAAATTATCTTCTTAAATTCTGCACCGACAATCAAAATGCATCAGCCAGCCAGCGCATGCAGCTACTGCCTCTATACCCATAACACATCATGGCCAGGTAATCGAAAGCCGCCACATGGCCTACGGTCGGCCGCGTCTGATCCAGAGACGATTTTGAATTGTGGTCGCAGGGCACCGCGGGCGTCACGACAACACGTCGACGTGACGAAAATTATTAGCCACATTTTTGGAAATTCTTCGTGCGAAACACAGGCGACGACCCCGACGCCGGCAAGAGATGAAGCAAGACGTCGAGCGCATGCAGACAGGTCACCAGCGACCCAAGGTCAGCCATTCATCCACAAGTTATCCACACGCGTAGAAATGAGTGAGATTTTGTTCGAAAAGCGATACAATTTTTGCCTTCGGGGTAGGTCATCCTGACCCAGTTTGGTCCCGCAAAAGTGAGTATCTGTGCTGCGCCATTTCTCTATTCGAGCATTGCGGTAGAAAGTGCATCACAATTTGGACTGTATAAGTCTTTCATTTTTCCGTAGCGCAACACCGATTTCGTCATTATCCTTCTACCGCCGTATATATGTCACTCTCCAGGAACATGACTTTCAACTTGAATTATACATAAACTGTTGAGTGTAGCAACCTGAGGACGTTTGTACGCAACAGAGAACATTTTAAAGTTGTCGTACGTGGCGGCAAATTATACGTAAACTGTTGAGTGTAGCAACCTGAGGACGTTTGTACGCAACAGAGAACATTTTAAAGTTGTCGTACATGGCGGCAACCATCAGTGCAAGTTATTTTGCGCTCACTAGAACGTATATATCCTTTTTGGGAAGTATATAGGCTTGTGAAAATATTGTTCCGATTAATCGTGTCAGGCGGTAGAGGGTTAAGACGGTCAACTGCAGTACGCATCAACCATGGATACGGT